GTCAGCCCTTCGTGGCCTCTATGGCTATCTCGCCATTTCCTACCTCAGCCCTTCGTGGCCTCTGTGGCTATCTCGCCACTTCCTACCTCAGCCCTTCGTGGCCTCTGTGGCTATCTCGCCATCTCCAACCTCAATCCTCCACTCTCTCTTCCACCCCGCTGGCTGGCGCCGTCATGAGCCCCTCAGCCACCAGGCTGAGGCACGGCGACCACCCAACGTGTTCACCACCCTTCACTCCCCCGACTGACCCAGATAGCTTCCTGTCTCCCCGCTATAACTTCTCCCCCACGTCACCCTGACTCCTCCCTCTCGGATCGTCATATCCGCCCCGCCCATTTACGCCCGCATTACAGGTGGATAACCCCGCCCGTAAAATTGGGGTGCCACTCACACTCACACCGATACATACATCGCCTGCCTACTGGATACAGGCACCTTCCGGCAAGCATCTCTGTGTGCCTTTGGTGGGTGCCTCTCAGAATCACACACAGAGAGACAATTTATTTAAGATCTTCCCAAGTGCAGAGCTCCACGCGTGCTGCCACCGTGCTCAGCACTCTGCCGCTGTGCCGACGTTAGCGGGCACCGCACGCCACGGTGGGGAGCCTTTGTGTGGAAGGAGCTGAACACGGGTCTCACAATTGCACAAGCAAAACCTCGTTTTGCGACGCGAATCAATAATGCCCTGGCTGTACTGGACGAGAAACGTGAATACAAAAATGTCGATCGTCGACCGTGTTTCAATCCACTGCTGGATGAAGGCCACCAAAGCCGCTGAATGATGTTCAGAATTTGCTCCAAATTAGTTTTTTTCTTCTTCTTCGAAAGTGTGACAACCTCAACATTGCGTGAACTGTTCTGATGGTCCCTTTTTAAAGGTAATCCATATTGTTACCGATTTACGATTTTCAAATTTGTAAGTTGCGGATTACTTTCGTGACCCGCGTTCTTCATACACGAGCACATTCGGCGTGACTTTTTGATTGAATCTCAGATGGATCAGCGACTGCACCATGAACGTCGTCCCTCGCATGACGATCACGCGCCAGTATCCGCGTCTCTAACCCGAACCCAAGTCTCCGACACGACTATTCTCCCCGTTCAATCTTTTAAAGAAAATATTGGAATCGTTTTTTAATGCAATAAAACAAATCCCCGTTCAATTTTTGTAAAAAAAAAATAGATTTTTTTTAATTGCAATCGAAGGAATCGCGAGCAGTAATAAGTACACTCTAACTCACGGTAATCAGATTACAAGCAGAAGATGGCGTCAGAATGGAGGATTACTTGGTGATTGTTTTTCGTTCGTTTTTCGTTCGTTTTCCTTCGTTTCTCAATCCGCTTCTCCTGGTCAGGGTCGCGGCGGCAGCGTGTTGAGTCGTGGTGGTCTACACCTCCCTTTCCCTGACGACAGACTCCAGCACTGCTACACTATACACTACACTATACAATACACTACTATATACTACTACACTATACACTACACACTACTACAATATACACAGCTCTAAACTACTATACACTACTATACATTACACCACTATACACTACTATACACTACTACACTATACACTACTATACACTGCACTACTATACATTACTACACTATACACTGCACTACTATACACTACGACACTATTATACACTATACTATACACTACACTATACACTACTACACTATACACTACTACACTATACACTGCACTAATATACACTACTACACTACTATACACGACTACACTATACACTACACTATACACTACACTATACACTACTACACTATACACTGCACTACTATACACTACTACACTACTATACACGACTACACTATACACTACACTATACACTGCACTACTATACACTACTACACTACTATACACGACTACACTATACACTACACTATACACTACTACACTATACACTGCACTACTATACACTACTACACTACTATACACGACTACACTATACACTACACTATACACTACACTATACACTACTACACTATACACTGCACTACTATACACTACTACACTACTATACACGACTACACTATACACTACACTATACACTGCACTACTATACACTACTACACTACTATACACGACTACACTATACACTACACTATACACTACTACACTATACACTGCACTACTATACACTACTACACTACTATACACGACTACACTATACACTACACTATACACTACACCACTATGCACTACTATACACAACCTCGAGCTCTTCCTGTGGAATTCCCAGGCGTTCCCAGGCCAGCCGAGAGACACCGTCCCGCCAGCAGCGTGTCCTCGGCGGGCCCCGGGGTCTTTCGCCTTTTTCAATCCAATTGAATATTTATTTTTCTCACTCGCATCCCGTTACTAAGCGGCTCAGCCTTAATGAGCAACGTCCGAGTGTCTGTGGAACGCGAGCTCTGGGTGGTACTTGCAGTGATCTCTTTCCTGCGTGGCACGTGCACTCACCAACACCTGTTGCTAATCAATCCCGACAATAATCCTTGAGGGTTTCTCAGGGCACACTGTTGATGCCTGCAGGGCTCGGAGACATTAGTTGCAGGTTACCAACTGGCCACCTGACTTTCATATTCTTAGGTTTTTTCGGTAAAGTCACATAGGTAAAAAATTAAAATTAATAAATGTAAAATAAAAATAAAATAAAAATCACGACGTTTCGGAGGCAACACAAGCTTCCGTCTTCAGGTGGAACCGTTACAGCACGATAGCTGTACAGCTATTATTTTATTTTTATTTTACTTTTTTACCTACGTGACTTTACCGAAAAACCCTAAGAATATGAATCCTTGCAGTCACGAAAGCTTCAAATCTAGAATCACCTGACTTTCGTTTTGCAAGGCGCAATCCACCGTTTGATGAGGGCCTCCCCATGGTGTGTGGGCCACGGGTCTACTTTACCATACTTCACCATACTGCATCATGAGGCCTCCTTTGCCAGTATCAAAATATAAGAATAGGGTTTTCCCCTTTTTCTGGTAACAAAACTGAAACCTTTTTACGAGGAATCATGTCTACATTAACCACAATACTTGCGGTCAGAATGCAAACAATAAACACACTGATCATATATGCATTGTCCTTGAAACTGATTGGTTCACACCAGAGACAGCTTTCTTTTGAGCCGCATCTCAAACAGCTCAAAGACAATGCACTATCAGAGTAATGCGGGCTCGGGGTAAGCATCTTCACCGTACTGGTCAGTGCGGGTTGGTGATGACAGGGATCATGGCGAAGTACAATGGATTTTGCTGCGCTTACAATGTAGCTCCGACGCATCTTACTGGACATGTGTGAAAAAGAACTTCATAGCTCATCGGATTCTTCCAGTATAAATACATGTTCTGATTTCTGATCTTCACAGACGCCTGTTTTTGTGAATGGTGGACACCCATCGAGATGTTACCCAGCCTCAAGCCTGATTCACTTCCGCGATCTAACGAGATTGGCCACATACTGGGTTATTTGGCCAAAGGCCCATTGTTTACCATGTTATACATTTTTAAAATGAACGAGATATCCAATTAAAGAGATAAGAGAGCCCCTGACCCATGCCTATTCATGGGTTGCCGGATTCAACATGGATTTTGATTTATTCAGCATAAATTGCGACCACATTAGCATTTCACATTATTTCAGCATGTTTCCTTTAATGTTTCAACAAATTATGTACAGTACCTATAAACATATGTATGGGCATATTCATATTTTTGGAATGCGGAGGTTAATCCACCGCAATATTAGCCGTGGCTTGGAATCAATCTCAGGTCACCATGTTGATGGTGCAGGGTGCTAACCACTGGGCCACGACTCCCAATCATCAGGTTTTATCCATCATTATGATCTTGTCATCACATTTCACATTCCCACTTATTTCCCCTTCATCTTCGTGTGGAACATTACCCACGACCGGATCAAAATCCGTCACCATCATCACCGACATCAGCTCCAGACCAACACCCACAGCATCGGCAAGTGGAAAGCAAAAAATTAAAGAACAAAATACATTTTGGTGTTTGGGCAAGGAAACGTGCGCGTGGTGCGGACAAGGGGAGCAGCTGCTCCCTCTCGGTGAATGAGCGGCCACCCCCAGGGCAGTCACTCACCGGCGTCTCCATGGATCCCACATCCGTGGAACGTGAGCGCGTGCGTCACTCACTCGCTCACGCCGGCAGGCTGCGCTGATATAATCTCTGACGATAACGATTACGGTCGATGACGATCGCGATGTTGCATCGCGACAAATCCTCCCCCCCTCCCCAGCTTAGTTTATTACGCGCCAGTCCACCCGCACACAAAAGTTGAAAAGGATAAATATAGGACTCGGGCATTAATGCCCCAGGATAGAACTGGAGTGCAGATGAAGTCGGGTGAATGCGAGTCACCCCCATCGTCATTATCAGCCACTGTCAATCATCTGCTAGATAACGGAAATAATCACGATCCATCAAGGCCTTGCGATGCAACATTCCATGCAGTATCTGCACATGAGCTGATGTTAATCTCTCTCTCTCTGCAGTGGGTGGGCGACAGCCATTATCCCTTGTCGTGACATGTCTTGCCTCAGCTCACTTTTCTTGTTAGTCAACCTACTCAAACGGGCCCGCCCTCACAGTCGGGCATATTTACGGAATACACCACGCCGCCGTTGACCCTGGCCATTGACCGAGCAACCCAACGTTCCTACCAGCTTCCTCCGCAGGAATGTGTTTTAGCGGGCCATGACCGCAGCATCAGTGGCACGTGGTAGCAACTGCCACTTGCCCCGAGCCTTTCCGTCGGGGTGCTGATTTGATTTTGGCATTGATAATAGAGTACCGCGTTGCTGGGCAGTTGTGAATGATGATGCACGCCTAGGCGCCCTTTAAACACTGCCAGTTAGCAGATGTATCTTAAACTTCTTTCGCACCATACGTAGCCGACCATCATCCAAGAAGCTAAATTGTCTTTGGTTTTCCTCCCTGCTCGCAGACATCCTGAACGACGCGATCTTCAATGAGGACCACGACGAGATGGTGATCGTCAAGGACATTGACATGTTCTCCATGTGTGAGCATCACATGGTGCCCTTTGTTGGCAAGGTATGCTCCGCGCTGCTTGTCACTGGCTCGGTTTTACGCATTCACCAATTTCCAAGCTCTTTACGGAGTGACTTGGCGCATCATGTCTTCGGGGTTGATAAAATCACTTTGTAGAAGGTTCAGCACAATTTTTCTCTCAAGAGCCTGCTTGCTGACGTAGAAATACGGAGTTTGTACTTTTGATTCAAGGCTGCCAAGAGAGATGAACGCTCATTTGAGTTGATGTCTACTTTGATATAATACAGGGGCTTTTATTTTTGGTTAGATCGCATAAATATTAACGTGTCGCTAAACCTGCCACCACACGAGATTAGTAAGGTTTGTCACGTAAATAAAACATGCCAATTCGTTACTAGTTCAGCACACGCGGTGTGTTGGAGAGTCAATATCGTGGGTATGTTTTGTTTAAGGGGTAAACCTTACTAATTGGCTGTGTCGGGTGGTGGTGGGTTTAATGACACATTTATATTTAGGCGATCTAACCCAAAAAAACCTCTATTATGCATATTGGTCGCAAAAGACGTGTTTAAAAAACTTTGACCTTTGACCCCTATTCTTGGTCGTCTAACTATACTTGTTTAGTGCTTTCCAGTAACATGTGTGGGTGCTAATGTGCAACACCAGTGATGGTTATCTAATTTTATTTAGGTGATTTCGAAAACGTTTTGGTTTAGCCATATTTGTTTGTTGTAGTACAGAGTTAGACTGATAACTTTAATCTAAATTGTCTTATGGTTGTTATTGTTTGACTTGCATCCCACTGGGTTTTTTGCACACAGCATTGATATACGGTGCTTTTTATGGAAGACTTTGCTGGTTTTTCCTGGATTTTTTTGTTTGCCCGTAGTCACTTTAAGATGTTTCTTGTTCATGTTTTTGTTTGTTGCGGTTGCACCCGATTCAAGAGCTGAATGGCTCACAGGGCTATACCAAATAAATGAAACTGAATCTGAACCCGTGCTGGGTCTCCCCTATGTCGACTCAGCCTCAAATGGGTACCTGGTGCGGTGGGCAAACATCAGCACTGGGGAGACAAAGGCGGCCGGGCGTGGTGCTGACCAACCACCGCCTCGCGTTCCGTGCCGGCCTTCATAGGTGCTCGCCAACAGCACTTGCCCCAACAGTCTGTTGAGGCGATATATTTTTGTCTTGGGTGTGTACAGGTGCACATTGGATACCTGCCCAACAAAAAGGTGGTGGGACTCAGCAAGCTGGCCAGGTGAGCAGTGGTGGAAACTGCGGGTCGTTGTAATCTGGCAGTGCACACACAAGCTAAAAGCACACCTCGTTGCTGATAAAGAACAACAAAACGGGCAGTCCTTTTGTTTGCAAAAAAGCACGAGCACGGCTTAGGTTACATTATGTGACTGGGTATTTATAAACTCGTCTATTTTTGTGTTTTTTTCAGGATCGTTGAAATGTTCAGCAGGAGGCTCCAAGGTAAGAACTAAACAACGTTGTTAATATTGAGAAGAAAATAAGCTGTATTATTAATAATTCATCATAACCAGTAACGACTATCTAGACAAACTGAAAACTAGAAATGAAAGTACAACCAATGGGAGTGGAACGATGAAATTGGAACACGCACGATAAATCTATGAGTTTCAGCTGCATGAGACGAAAGGCATCGGTCGACATTGAGCTGTCTTCATCCAGCAGCTGATAGAGAATAGAATTGTAAAGAATAAATTACACACATGTATCTATATACACATGTATTGTATATAATATCAGAACCCAACCTGCACTGACAAGCATGGTGCAGTGTGGTCTTCATCCATCAGCGGATTGGCATAGGGTTATACACCATACTAATTGTATATACAACTGATAAATGGGCACTCTATGGCATGAGTACACAAAACAGCTGGGAGCCATTCGTGGCCATCAAATAGAGTAGATCGGTTTTGAGTGGCGGTATCTACTGCTATGTTCCCGACTCCCTCTCCACGTGGTCCATCACAAATGGCGACCCCCCCCCCCCCCCCTCCAAGACCTATGTGATTTTGTAACTTCTCTTCTTTGCCACCGCCACCAGTACAAGAGCGGCTGACCAAGCAAATTGCTGTGGCCGTGACGGAGGCACTGCAGCCTGCAGGTGTCGGCGTGGTCATCGAAGCCACGTGAGTTGCACGACAAACGGTGTCCGTGGCATACAATGGTCACTCAAGCCCGGTTTAAGCTACCCAATTACTGGAGGCCCAAAGCGGGACACATGGTCAGCTGGCAGCCCTGCCATCCCATTCAGCCCTGCCTACTGTGACATAGCCACACCAACATTAAAGCGCAAACTCCACAATCGCGTGTCTGGCATTGTCCCCGTCAGCTGCTAATGGGCCCCATCTGCATCCTCTGCCAACCCCACCCACTACTCGAGTAGCTCTGCCCGTACCTTTGAACAAAAACCCGACCTCGTGCTTGGGCAATGTGCACATTGCTCTCTTGCACAATAGATGCGTTCTGAATTTAAAAAAAAGAGGTTTTGGGACTTTTTTTTTTAGAAAGCAGGCAATCGGTGACCCGTAAACAGCATGGTTTACCGTAATAGGAAGTCTTGTCTGTCTGCATCGAGTTCTTTTTTTTAAGTTGAAGTTCGATCAGATTCCCACGAGATGACTCATGGCCTATACGTTACTTTTCAGAGCAGTGAGTCATCACTCTCTCAGTTCTTGTATTTTTGTTGCGTTTCTGGCACAAATAAGCAAACAAGTGGTTTCTATCTATGGGACCTTTTTGCCAGTATCCAAAACGATGAAAAACAAGGATAGGTTTTACCCTTTCTGGCAATAAAACGGGTGTTAAGATGTTCAAAAGCAAAATATAGATGCCATTTTCAAGGAAATCAAGTCTGCATTAACCACACGTACGTGTGGTAAAACTTGCAAACAAACGTGCTCTACCAAATTGTCAATTGCACACTAAAACTCAATTGCGTCGTCGAAGTGAAAAAGACAAAAATAATTAACTCGTCTCCCTCTTGGTTGGGGCTGTACCTATCTGTGCTGTCAGCTCTAAACCAGTGGCAAGATATTCCACATTTCGTGATTAGGAATATAAATACATACATTTTTGTTTAAATGCAGGTGAGAGTGTAGACTAACCCCCCTCTCTCTCTCCACCGCTCTGGGTCCTGCTACTTGCGCACGAGCAGCCACATGTGCATGCTGATGCGCGGCGTGCAGAAGATGAACAGCAAAACGCTGACGAGCACCATGTTGGGTGTCTTCCGGGAGGATCCCAAGACCCGAGAAGAGTTCCTGTCGCTCATCCGACACTGAGTGAGCAAAGCGAGTTCGTGGGCACGCCGCTGGCCTGCGGACCGCAACAATTGCGGAGCACGCGACCACCGGTGATAGCAGCAACAACAACAACTCTTCCTTCCCAGACCCCCCTGAGAGCCTTCAACAATCAACCCCATCCTGGGTAGCTGCTGCCACTGCACAAGCTTGTGCCGCTACATCTACACCTGTAGGGTTATCGTGCGGTGACAGACTGGAGCATTCTTTGTTAAGGACAAAGTTGTACCATTGGAACCTCATTTGCCAGTAAAAATATGATAATTGTTTGTTTACCCTTCTATCTGGCAACAAAACAGGGTAAAAAAACTATTATCATACTCTGATGGTGCATTGTCTTTGAGTTGTGCGCCTTTTGGCGTCATCTGGTCCAACCCATGTGAGACTAGGCTCTAAGGAAAGCTGTCTCGGGTGTGGACCAATCAACTTCAAGGACAGTGCACATTATCAGAGTTATGTTTGTTGTTTGCATTATGACTGCAGGTATTGTGGTCTATGTAAACATGACTCCTTGTAAAAACAAGGTGTCAGTTTTGTTGCCAGATAGAAGGGTAAAAAACCAATTTTGACAAAGTTGTAATTCATGGAAACAAAATCTGAAATTCTTGTAGGTTGCTAGAACAAGGGGGATGGGTGGTACGTTGTTTTTACCAACCCATGAATCAGGCCTCTGGAGATTCACAAAGGTAGCTATAATTGGAAATGGAATAAACAAATATAAGTGAGCAGAGCCTCAGCCATATTTGCAATGTAGTCAAATGTCAGTCAAAGGGATTGTAATGTTGTGATAATATCCGAGACAAGAAAACTCAGGTCGAGAAAATGTGATACCACAAGCATCTAAATCCAAAATGTACAGATATCTACTAAAATATATTTCATATGTTCTTGACGCATATTTACTCCAAATACAATTGAATCATATCCTGAGATTAAGTGCAATTGGAGCAAAAAGAAAACTTGTAAAAAAATATGTATATTCATGCATAGCTCTTATAATTTAATGTGTATGGTCTAAACTGTGTTTTTCAACAAAGCTAACGTTTGTTTGGTGCTCAGAGCTTCACGCATCTTTGATCACTCACTGGTTTCTCGCTAAGAAAATTACGCTACTGGAAGCCATTTTCTTCCCATGAATTCAAACCTTTGGTTTGGCAACATGGCCGACGGACGTGGCAACACAATGAGTGGATGGCAACAGAGTCCAAATATAAATTGTGTCATGAACACAGACAGTGGGGCAGTGTTTATCCAATCCTCCTGGCCTTGCTGCATTGGCTAGTAAATTATGTGCAAACAAGAAACACTAGCTGCTGCTGCTGCCGCCCAGAATTCATACCCATTTTTATGATCGCTTTTGTGCATTTAATTGTGAAAACCTTTTAAGGTCAATACTCGCCACTGGTTTATAAATGGGTGGAGTAGATGGGTGGTGTTTGGCAAGTTCTTTGTTATCCAAGCGTGACCTTTTATTATACTGCTATTATAAAACCCAGCCAGTCATCAATGGCGCAAGCAGCGTTCTCCACTCCGGGTTAATGCTGACATCTTGAGGATAAGCCCCAAGTCTTATTACAAAAATGTCAGTGACGAAAGTTGACGCAGTTTATAAGATATCGTACGATGTACATGATGCTGAACTTAACGGCTGTTTTAATATCAGGGTTATACTTACGGTACGTAAAATAAAAATACACAAAAGTCCTCTGTGATTATATGGAGGACACATTTGGGTATCATTCGAGTTTTCATGCTGTTTACAATAAAAGCATGTTTTATTCACGATTACTTATCCACAACATCGTGGGTATCATGAAGATACAATAATTGTCTGGGAGACATATCACCGAGTGTGATATGATGGACTCAACCCTTCTTGTTCACTCACAACATTCATAATTATCACTATTACAATTGTAAGGTCTTCTCATTATCTGTTGTCATAACACATTGTTTTAAGTATTATTTGTATTTACCACACGTTTTCAGTTTGTGGGAAAAGCATATATGTGGATTAACTTTCTTTTGCTTTATGGTGACGGCTTATGAGATGGCTGCATAGAAGAGGAATTTTATTTTGCAGTACTGATTTTATTACGTAATTTATAGAACCTGAGAGATTACACAGGCAGCAGACTTCAGTGAAGATGCAACATACGCCTCTATGTCACTGCCTGGGTGATATATCATTTGAGTGTGATGCAATAGGCTATGGGATGCTACTTGAATATCAGCCTGGTATCTCGTATACCATTGAAAGCTACTACTAATGTCGATGGGAAACTGGGGATGGGTCCCAATGTGTCAAGCACAGGTTTCTAAGCTACGATTAAAATAAAATCGCAGCAGAAAAAGATGTCCACTTGTTCACGCAGAGATATCTCAATATATGTGTGCATCACAGTCAAATACCTAGTTTCCACGTGATAGATTAAAGCAAGCTGGCCTGACTTGGCAATATTACTCAAGTTATCTTGTGAGTTGGGTCTTTCCCAGAAATACCGCTGGGTAACAGGTCAAACCGCATTGCGGCCAAAATAAAATGTAACTTTTAAATGAACGTATTGCCTCTTCACCTGAATTCTGATGGAGGGAATTCAGCCCCTTCCGTGAAAAGAAAGCGGCCAGGAAAATTGAGGCTGCAGCGAGAATTAGGAATAAAAACGACTGATTGATCCAGGAAACCCACACCGAGTCCATTTACTATTTTTCAGGAGGGTCCTGCTTTGGGTTTTAAATTTTTTTTGCATGTTTTCAGCCGATTTTACAAATGTGTGTACGTATGCGAGGAATCAGGAGAACCCGGAGAAAAAAACGCATGCGGGGGGGGGGGGGCAACACTCCCATGCAATTAGGACAGACGATATAAGACAGGCGATATTCGTCTGTACCTTGTGGTACTGCATTCCCCCTTGCACGCCAGGGTACGTCACCCGAACACCCAACTCGTGCTGGGTAACGCGGAAGTTCGAATTCGATTTCGAGTTTTCATGGCTCGCGGAAAACTGGGTAAAGGGGTCTCCCTCAAGTGAATAAAAGCGCGGTTGCTCATCTCCGTTAGCTGCCATAAGCCTGTGGCTAAAACTCCACATTCCCATGGCGGGGATGAGTCTAACTGTTGGGTCAACCGTTGTTATGCAGTGGTGCGCGTATATAAACATACACGCACCACTGCATAACTGCACACACCATGCATGTACGTTTACAAATGCAGTTGTTTATGTATGTACATCATATTTTACTGATGAGTTTATATTTATATTTTTATACACATTGCATATTTTGTACATACTATACGTACACATTTCCCGAACACTGCAGCAAACAACAATTGTAGAGCCCACAGAAGAGACATTACTCTCACCAACTCATGACCATGCTTATGGAAATGCCATATGCTCCCTTCGTGCCTCCTGTACTGTATCTGTAGTTTAGCGGTTTCGATTGATTCAGGGGTTTCTGCCAAAGTTGCCCAACCATTTGTTAAAAAAAAACATTTTGGCAATTGATGAAATTACTCAAATGGGACCTATGCACAGCAATCGTCGGCCCTCCTATTTGCATAACTTTGATGTCCCAAAGTCACTCTTGCAAATGATACGTTGCTCGTGTCTTGAGGTCTCACCTGGTTTTAATAAAATTAATTTCAACCACAATCCTTCGTGTAAAATGTAGCGCTCACACTTGGGGTTGTCCATGTTTTGTGATATTTAATGGTGCTGCGTATAATACTTCCGCGTGTGTGTTGTGCCAGAGTGAAATGGGAGGAGTACATATTGGGGTTTAGGGTATGAATGTAACCCAAAATGGAAATATAACTGAAATTTGTATTGGGAAATCGTGAATTCAAATCTACAATGAGAAACCGATCACAACAAAAGAACGAGTGCAGGATGGCAAACAAATAGATTTTACAACACACAAACATTTGAACTGCATATAAAAAAAAAAAACTCTCTACCTTTTTCTAAACCACTAGTTCAGAAGAACTGTTTGGTGGAATTTTTGGTCCTAGGCCATCAACTTGATACATTGAGAGAAAACATGAGACAAACCAGTCCCACACTCAATTTATTTCAGTTGGTTCAAGAAAAAAATAATCACAATGCAGTTTTTTTGAACTGGTGGTTTTGCATAAGTCTTTGTATAAAGCTTTTGTACATCTGTGTGTGTGTTGTTAAATCTTCATAGGACAACAGTGTAGAATTGTGAAACGTAACAATTCAGTGAATTGCTTTCCAAAACGCAAGTATTTTAATTTGTATGTAAATATATATTCGGTGTTGTAATTGTATAAGTTTACATTTCGAAGCATTTGTACATGTGTATATTAAATATATGTCTATTATACTGTATGTAAAGTGGTTTACATTTAGGAAATAGCATCAAGTTTTGCCTTGCATTTGACTTATTTGATTTAAGGCAAACGTACAGAAATGGATGTTTAACATTGTTTTTAAATGTATTGCTACAGGTAATTTCTATTACACGACAAGCGAGGATCCTGTCGTGGTCTCGATATCCAGTTGCTTTGCATCAACAGACTTCAACTTGTGATGTGCGCATCTTCAATGCAACCCGGTTTCAAAATTCCGCGCAACATATGATGACCAAAGGAAGTTCCTGCAGCACAAAGTGAAACATGCATCCTGTGCAGAATACCTTATGGCAGTAAAGCAAGCCGCTTGCTCAGTCATGGAATAACCCAGATATAACACAATGGGCTATCACTTTTTTTTTATTTAGAATACATCCTACAGAACCATCAGAACTGCACTTGCTTCAGTTGCACAAATGAGACTGTCCACATATATTGTTTGAGCTTGCCTTGGACGAATTCGTTGCAAAAGTGAACTTTTTCTGATATAACCTGATAAATCGTGTAAGCTCCGATTAGCAAGATTGGCAAAGTACGGTGGGAAATAAGTTCAGCATCCATGCTGGTTATCATGAGAAACTGGGATATAAACCCATCATTTCAGCAGTCAGCGATTTTACTCCAGACATCGAAAGAGTATAGAGTCCCACATGTCGCCCCAGCCAACTGTCCTCTCTCAATTTGGCGTCAGCCTCAGTCGTAACGCGAGAAAGTGATCACAACAAAAGTTGGTGCAGCGGACTCATGGCAAAGCCCTCTCAATATAAAGGGACAACAGGGCCTTCTGGTCTTAAATCCAGTCGGTACTGTTATGATCAAATGCTGTTCGTCAACGTTAACTGGAGTTCATGCTTAAACGCACCAAGGACAAGTTAGACCATTACCAGCTTCCTCAGCCAGGCGTAGAAACATCAGAATTACTCTCACGATTTGCTCATGTCTTACACGATCGAGAGGGGAGAATGACAACTACAGTTCTTGCTGTGCAGATGTACGAGCACATTTGTCAGCGGATGGGTTGGCGAGGGAATTATTGCGTAACGAATGAAAGTCCTGGCCAGGGGAAGATATTCTGCCCTACGACACCGTGCACGTGTACGAAGAGACACAACGGTCACAGAATCTATATATATAAAATCGTGCATGTCTGTCTGTCCGTCTGTGTGTGTGTGTGTGGATTTCGGACCATACGCACTTTCATTGGACGGCGGTTGCCCCTGGCAACAGATAGCGACGCGTTCGCCGCTTTCATTGAACCTGGCAACGGCTAGCCACGCCTTCGCCAAGGGCTGCAGTTTCATTGGACGGCGGTTGCCCCTGCCAACGGCTAGCCACGCCTTCGCCACTTTCATAGGCTCCGTAAATAATTAAATAATAGCCATTACACAGTGTTGTTGGAGCGCTGAGGGGGGGGGAAAGCACGCCACCCGTACCCTGCCTCTGCCGGGTGGACAATTTAGGCGAGGCCGCAGGCTCTGCACGCTACTAGGCCTCGACACCCACCACGCCACTCTGAGGTAAATTCATCAAAGTTTATCCTACTCTTCACTCCACCCCCACCACAATGTGTGCAATTAATATTACTTTTAAACCCAACGCGCCAACAATCGATTACTTAAATGTTCACTGTACAAATAGTCATTAAGCTGGGTCAGCGTACTGCCAGTCTATCATGTAGACTGTAGCCTGATTATTAAGCTCGGTGAGCGTACTGCCACTCTATCATGTACACTCTAGCCTGCTTATGAAGCTGACTGCGTGTACTGGCAGTCTATAATGTGGACTGTAGCCTGGTTATTATAATCGATTCTTTATATGTTCTTTGTACAAATAGTCATTAAGCTGGTTGAGCGACCCCAGTTCGATTCCAACTCACGCCCACCACCGCTGACGATTATTTGAAACGGACCTGGCCCTCCCCTAGGTCCACTCAGCCTCAAACGCGTAACTGCTGTCGTGTGTGAACATCGTCACTGGGGAGACAAAGGCGGCCGGGCATCGTGGATCCAAGTCCCGGGCGAAGCCGGGTCTTTTGTGTATGTGTGTATATGTTTATGTGTATCTCTGTGTGTCTGTATGTATGTGTGTATGTATGTGTATGTGTTTGTGTGTGTGTGTATGTATGTGGGTTTTTTTCTGTCTTTATGTGTATGTCTGCGTGTCTATATGTATGTGTGTATGTACGTGTATGCATGTGCTTGGGTGTATGTATGTGTGTCTATGTATGTGTGTGTATGTATTTCTGTGTATGTATGTGTGTGTATGTATGTGTGTTATGTGTCTGTCTGTGTGTCTGCATGTATGTGTGTGTGTATTGTGTATGTGTTTGTATGAGTTTGTGTCTTTACGCTCGCATTACACAAATGTGTTGCAGGTCTAAGGCGTTCCTTGCGCAGCTTTGCCGCTTTATTATTTCAGTCGTTTACTGCCGTACGCACCATGAAAGTCGTGTGTGTCTGCGGCAAGCGCGTGTATGTGTACCTATGGACGCGCGCGCGTGTGTTGTGTAGGGGGAACGGTAGTGTAGTGCTTAGCGTGCTGCCTGTGTCTGTGTGTGTGTGTCTGTGTGTGTGTGTCTGTGTGTGTGTCTGTGTGTGTGCGTGTGTGGTGTGTGGGGAGCGGTAGTGTAGTGGTTAGCGTGCTGTCTGTGTGTGTGTGTGTCTCTGTCTGTGTGTGTCTGCGTGTGTCTGTGTGTCTGTGTGTGTGTCTGTGCGTGTGTGGTGTGTGAGGAGCGGTGGGTGTAGTGCTTAACGCTACGCTGCGCTACCAACCCGGCGAACCCAGTTCCATTCCCGCTCACGGCCACCACCGGTGACGATTATTTGAACCTCCCCTAGGTCGACTCTGCCTCAAACGAGTAACTGCTGTAGCGTATTAACATCGCCACTGGGGAGACAAAGGCGGCCGGCCGTGGTGGATACAAGTCCCGGGCGAAGCCGGGTAGTACAGCTAGTTAACTATAAAGTGACGGCGTCTCTCTGATTGAATGAGCAAGGCGGTGGCTCGTCTCTGTTGGTAGCCCTGAACCAAGTGGGAAATGCTGTTCTGTTTTGATGGAGTGTAACAGTTGAACCACTGTGTGCGTCCCGAGGCTTCAACGGAGCAGTGTAGTTGGACTTAAGAGCCTCAGTGGATGATCTGTGTTGTAACCCGGTTAGTACCGACTCCAGTTCTTGCAACACTCAGTGTCCTCGGGTCTTATAGTGAAGGTATGTGCAATTTGCATTGTGCAATTACCACATGATATGTCGGCACAATTCAAGTGGCCGGTAGCTAAAAGATGTATCTGAATAAGTACACTATTTCTACATGTTTGCTTTGATACTTTAAGTAAAACAAATCCAATGCCGTAAGGGAGGTGTGGATAAAAGTAAAAACCTGGAGCCGAGCATCGCGTATAGTTAAGCAAATAGTCAACATTACGTATGAAATAGCTTGATAGAGGGTATTATCCACGGGCCAGGTACAACACCTGAAACCCAGGGAGTCTGCAACCAAAACAACAAGAAGCATGTTGTTTGAATTTGGTAAAGAAAAAAACCCTCAATATTACAAAAGCTGCAGTGCGTGTGAATTCGAGACGGCGGTCCTTAAAAAGAGCCGCATGCGTACGTTGAACTTCTTTCGCACCGTACGTAGCCAACCATGCTTATCGGAGATGCGGCCCCGACTCCTGCCTTGAAAGCCCCCCCCCACCCCCTATGCTAACACGCGCTTGTGTGGTTATCACGCAACAGACGAGAGCTCACATCAGGAGCAAACAGCTGACGGGGGCTGATGTTGTGGTCACAATGTTGCTCGGCAGGTCGGGCACACGACGCAGCGTTGTTCTCTGGATGTTGACGACCGTGCACTCGTCACAGATGTGCTGCAACATCATTCGTGCTTTGCACATTTTTTGTGTTCAGTTTGTTGGCCTTTCCCTCGCACCTCCGATGAGCACGGTTGGCTAGGTACGGTGCGAAAGAAGTTCAACACACGTGCGCTACATTTACTTTTCCCATGTTGTACGCTTGTACCGTGGCGACGGCTCCGTGTAGTTGTTTCATGTCAAGAAATATACAATGTTGCGGGGCAGATATTTCATTCCCGATTTGGTGTCTGAAACTGCTAAACGCCAGTGGCCTTACCTTTTACAGCTATACGTCGTCGGAAGAGTCTGCATTTAATAGCTTTGCGAATAAATGTTTGAACGTGGAACATTTTTCGGTGTACTTACCTTTGTGAGCGAACTCCAGCTGGATGCACAAGGGCATTTAAGGCAACCGTTACCAAGACACTTGGCATGGACAGTGTTTAACACCAATTCCTTACGTTCCTGGTGCTGAAATGCATCCATAAGAAAAGCCACTCAGACGGAGGACTTGTTTTCAGGAGCGGACGGCATCGGTTTTATTGATTTAAATATATTTTCACCCAATCAATGCAGTGTTTTCACACAAAACAAATGGGATACCCGACCACCCGGAAAATACCAACATGCGCGAGAAGGCAACACTATCCCGACACAGATGGACAGAGATTGCAATGAGTCAACGTGCTGCACTGCCTTTTCTTGGCTTGCCTTGGTATCGGACATCGACGAACACGGGGGGGAGGGAGGGAGTTTCACAACATTTATGCGACCCATCAACCATCGCCTCCACAGGGCTGAATGACAACAGGCATGCGCCACCACTGTCCAGCGGTGAACCTGCGTGGATTTATTACAAACGGTCATTTGCCTAACAAGTCGTTCATTAAAGCCCGGTGGAAAATCCTAAAGGGGAACAATTCTGAAAAACTGTGAGACTTGGTGCACCATCAGGTGAAAGGTCAAGGTGCGGCCCTGCAATTGCTCGTCACGACACCCCTCGAGGGAATGTGGCCTCATCTTTTACGCTGGCCAGACGTCTTGGAAGATATGGGATTACCCACACTTTACCCCACCTGCCAATCGACAGTGATGCACCCAACTTAAATTTACGGAGGATAGAGGCGGCAAGGAGGTTGGGGATCCAATAAATAGGTTTCAATTGCCCCCGCTGGGAGAACGAACCGGAATTACCAGACAGAATCAGAATCTTTATTTATCCTGGAGAAATCCGATGAGCAATGAAGCTCTTTTTCCACAGGTGTCCAAACGAGTGCGCGCAAGCCACTGCACTTCGGCAGAATCCCAACGCAACACTGGCAGCTCAGACAAAAAAAATCACGCAAACAAAGACGCACTTTACAATGTGTATTTCCGCTTGTATTTGTATAGCAAACTCCGATTAACACAAATACGAAAGTGGAGTCACTATACGTATTCCCTCATCAGAAGAAAATGCAAAGGCAACGCCAGGAAGTTTCATAACCAATCTGTTATCTCTAAAAGTTACATTTGGAGAAAAAAAATCAGCATGCCTGCAGCTTATCCAGCGATATATAAAAAAAACAAATCTTAGTGTCTGAAAGATATAGCAATTTTTTAAGTATTTTTCATATGGCACAACAAAAAGGTACATAAATATGAACACTATGCCCAAGGCATACACCGTAGATCAAGTTTGTGAAAACAGCAGAGTTAACAGCACAGGGGCAGACTTAAGATTGTGGAAGTTGGTACATGGAGTGTGCTGGTTTTAAACGTTACTAAACTCGAGGTGTCCCATCATCTTACACGGTTGGGATAGAAAAATAATCTCAGTTTAGGAAGTGCTAATCATAGTTCTGGTTAAATGGTGAACGGAATGGCAGCTTCAATTATGACCACGGGAACATCACCTCGACTCTCCGTGTCCATGCCCCTTGCAGAACTCCAGATCTGCCACCGAGCTAGCGTACTTCCATTTTAAATGGGATGTTCGTACCGTTGACGTAACAAATATCTCCATGAAGCCAATGCACTTGAATCACACAAGTAGGTTCTACTTTACCATCGTGTGCGTGTTAATTCCAAGCGCTAAAACAATTTACTTTTTTTTACGCTACCGTGAGACAATTTGTATGCATGTCTGTCCCTTCATAAACAGCAATGGATGCCCTTGCATTGATTTTCTTTGTTTTTTAAGCCAATGCAATATTGTGCCAAGGTCACTGATAAGGTTACAGAGTGAAAAAAACACAACATTGATTACATGGATACAAAAGCCGGGGCATTTTGTTTTAGATCATGCCTCTCAAATTAAATGTTTACGTTAACGCTTCAGTCATCACTGCTCCTATAGTTGCCTTCTAGGAAAAGGGGAAAACAAACCTATGGCAGACGTAAGTCAAATGTTTGGCAAATGATACATTATAGTAATTCAAAATATTAAATGTCATCGTTTAGGGTCATTGAAAAAATTACAACATAATTTTCGAAAGGAGAAATGTAAAACAAAGTTGTTTTTATGTTGACAATGACTCAGCACAAAATGGCCAACTCTTGTGAGTGCTGCTGTTTAATAAGTCTATTTAAAGTCCACTTAACAGTGGATGTCATGCTTTGGTAACTAAAACCATCTGAAGTACTTGGTGGGCTATGTCTATAACATACTTTTGCCAAGTTCTGCCACTCAAAATTCTTCAAGTCCAGAAGAGCAAGGCGCGAATACTTAAACCCACCAACAATGAGCGAAACTGTTTTTCAAATTCAATTAAACATGTTTTGCCATTAAACCCAACAGAACTTCCATCAACAACGCAAGACCAATGTGATGCCATTTTGTCCCACAGAGATCCATGTACAGCAAACTTGCAAATAAAGAATAACCAAAAAAATAAGCATTGCATTATACCAAAAACAAGCAAGCACACGCGTTGTTTATAATGTATATATATATGTAAAAAATAATAACAATTAGGAGTCACGGGGCATCTTATGCCAGACCCGGTCAAGCTCCTTTTGCAGCTTCAGCACCGCTCGGGTGCAAACTGTGAAACCAAATATATTTAAAAAATAACGCTCCAATCATCTTCTTGGTTCTTTCGGTAAAGTCACGTAGAAGGGAAGTAATAAAATAATAAAAATAAAACATAATAAAATAATTCTCACGACATTTCGGCCACAACGCAAGCAGCCATCCTCAGGTGAAGACGCTGTCTCCCCGACAGACCTGGTCTTCACGTCGTGAATTATTTCATTTGATACCTACTTGACTTTACCTAAAGAACCAAATAGTAAATTTCGATTTAAAGCTTTCGTGACTGCAGGGATTCATCTTCTTGGTTCTTTCGGTAAAGTCACATAGAAGGGAAATATTTTTTATTTAATTAAATTTTTATTATTTTATTATTTCCCTTCTACGTGACTTTACCGAAAGAACCAAGAAGATGAATCCCTGCAGTCACGAAAGCTTTAAATCGAAATATAATAAAATACAATTCTCACGACGTTTCGGCCACAATGCAAGCAGCCGAAACGTCGTGAGAATTGTATTTCATTGTTTTATTTATTATTATTTTATTACTTCCCTTCTACGTGACTTTACCGAAAGAACCAAGAGATGAATCCCTGCAGTCACGAAAGCTTTAAATCGAAATTTAACGCTCTAATCAGTGAAGGGCAGTAGATTCGAGTAGATGAAGACCCCAAATTGTGTGGATTTATAGAGCTTACACAAGTCAAGCAGGGCAACGTCAGATATATATAGCTTTCTAATTAGCCATGCAGCTTCTGTGCATGTGTTTAACTGCCACTCACGTGTACCTTTTCTTTCAAATATATAATTTGTGGTACTATTGCTAACTTGTGAATATGTATTGTTGAGTGGGAAGAACAAGTGTGCCACTTAACACCGGGGTTGAGTGTCCATTGTAAGACCACTCAAGTGTTAACAATGTCTATAACTATATTACGAGAATTACGGCAAAGCAAAGAATGGTGGGAATTAGACATCGTTCAAAGCAACACAATTTTTTAAACTCATCCAAAATAAAACTTCTCGACAGATTGCATTGAGTGGTGCTTTTAAGTGGGACTGCAATATCATCTCCACATCCAATTGTGGATCATACTCGGGAGGTTCTTGAAATAACACATTTTGCCAAGTTGACAGTCTTATCGTTCGATTGCGTAACTTGTCTCGCGGCTTCAGAGCAAACGATGACAAGTGATTAAGATTGACTTTTTACAAAATGTGCGAGCTTCCCTCCCACCCACGTAAGGTAAAGAACCAACGTTTATAACTACGTTACAATCTACGTTATAACTACGTTATAAACGTCATCTCTCTATCCAGTTGTTGTCAATAAACGATAGACAACATCTGGTTTGTAATCCTGTATTTACAAATGGTAGCTCCCAGAGCCGCAATAAGTTCAATCAAGTGACTTTCCAATGTTTTACAGTGGTTCTTTGTGTAAAGTCATCCGTGAATGCCTCGAGACCATTGACTCATTATCCTTTAGATTATGATGCAACCTTGGGCGAGAGTCCAAAATTTGCAATGTTGGTTCTGTGGTCTGACATACAGATACAACAATCACTCCCAAATCACGGACATATTCAACGTGAAAACAGACCAGATTCGATGCAACTCAATCGATTTAGGATGGTGTGAAAAAAAAAACAAGGTTAATCCCTTGTAGAGAGCACTGGGAGAGATGTTCACAGCCACTACCCAACCACGACTCTATCCTTAATGATGTTGCCTCCCTAGGAATGAATGCCACTCCTTAGCAGCAACGTTGCGTTATCCTTTCGGGAACCAGTTCTGTGCAGTCAATGATGCAAAAACGGCTCTACACGAAGCAATTGCCTCGTAAGCCTTCCAAATACAGCTAGTCCTGAACCCCACGGCCATTGTTGTACAACACTGCTAGGCCACCACTCATAGCAATACGAGCACCTCTTAATGGAAAGTGTGCTGCTATCGTATTTGTATTTTTGCTATTAAGCACAATTCCCTCCGTTGAGTGCATATTGACACGCAATGTCGGCTTAGTCTCACACACACATCACATCCGTAGAGATCAAAACTATTTCCAATAGCATCAGTGTGCATAGATTAAAATCGCTCGTGAACACTGGCACATACAGAGATGGTAGCCTCCACTAAATCTCCTCTACAACAGCGGAATGCTCCGAAGCCCATTGCCAACACCTGTGGTTCTGCAAAGGTTGACACCTGCGCCAATAGGTATAGGCAATGCCCACGGAGGTGATTTTGTTTTTTGTAGGTCTCAACTTGCCAACAACCTCTACTAGTGTATTTCAATTATATTCATTTCTTATGTAAGAAAAATAGACTTTAAGTGGCGAATCAAGCACGTGACGCCAAGCAGATTAAACTACGGCAACAGCAACGTCAAGGAAATATTTATTTTGGCGTCAGGAGCTCATCTTTGCTCCCTGGCCAGGCACTTTTCAGCAGAACCAATAAAAATACTCAGAAGCTCCATCAAGACGTATACCTAAGCTAACATGTATGGTAACAGTGAAATATTTGCAACAAGTAGGGCCCCTTTTATGATATTTTCTGAATTCATACCAACCCAGTAAAACCATATTGTTACATTTATACTTCAACAAAGAGTATAAAGTTTAGAAAATGGTGTGTGTAAAAAAAGAAAGGTAAGTAATGCTTCTGCATATTTATTTTTTGGCACTGCTCATTGCAAATTTTCAAATCTATATATAAAACTCAGACAAAAAAATGTGTTTAAAAGCCCATATTCAGGCCATGAGTTTGTGATGGGAGGTTATTGAAGTCGAGCGATGTAATGAGGCTGCTGCCGGGCACAGAAAACAGCCAACACCACTCCATCTAGATCGTCGATGTTCTTTCCATTCCGTCTGCAACAGAGAATTGGTCAACATGTTACATGGATGGACAGGGCGACAATGGTAAGGGTGCGCTTACAAGGGAAGGCTGAAAGATACCCCCCACCCAGTGACACCCTCAGCATTATCTTGTAAAGAAAAAGCAAATGACCAATGCAAGATCTCATGTATAATTTCAAGAAGGCAATATAGCACGTCCCCGAATACAATTGCATTTTTTGGAGGATCTGCTGAAACTAAAATGGGGGGGGGGGAATATTGCACTCCCAAAGCTCAAATAATAGTAACGGATGTAAAGCAATGCTGACTTGTTGCGAGGTGCATCTCCACACAGCACAGAAACGTCACAATCTAAAAAAAATAGCTACATTAGGTCTTCGTGGAAATCATGGGGTTATGGAAAAAATAAGTGGGTACATCAGGGAACCTTTGATGTTTACTGCCGGCCGAGTCGCGCTTGAAGAAGAGCCTCTTAGCTCACTCGGCTTTACCCGGCAAAAACTTGTGATTCTGATTCTTACCCCTGAAACAGCTCAATAGTGATGAGAAACTCTATCTCAGGAGGTATCAACTTATTAATAAAAAAAAACATGAATAAACTTAACTTTAATTTGTTTTAATCGACATGAACCAGTACGTATTTGTATAATACGTAAGTATACAGCTCTCACTTGGGCTTTAGAGATGTAAAAACATGACTGAATAATAAATTAATTTCTCAGAAAATCACGGTCAAGGGCAACAGATTACTGACATCCCGCTTGACCGATGACCTTCCAGACGATCACGCCCCCTGTCTCGTTATTACCAACACCCTTTAAACGACCAATACGGAAGGGAATAACAGGATATAATGATGCGCTTGCAACACGGCATCCAATAACACGTAACTATGACCAGACAAGATGCCTTCTCAAATGCAACAAAAGTTGCGCAAGGACTATCAACATGTGTTCCTGCCAACAGTGAGCCAAACACAATAAGCGACAATGTAACTATAGACAGGGTGGTTCTGTATCAACAACCACTCGGATAAAGACCGAATGCAAGCTGCTGTCCTGATTGGTGGTTGATAGGGCTGGTTTAGATGAAATTACAATGAGTATCCTAAGAGTCAGCACTTCCATCACTGAGCCAGTTTTGAAGAGCTGACAGTTTTGACTTCTATAAAACACAATATTTCCTGTACAAAATTATTTAAGATTTTAAATTGGACATTGAGACGGAAATTTATAGGAGGATATGTTACGCCAAGATCATGACCAAAATTCCAAATATTAAAACTAACATATTTTCTGGGTCTTTCGGTAAAGTCACGTATATAGGTTCAAAGAAAATAACAAAATAACAAAAAACTACGACGTTTCGATCGCAACACAAGCGGTCATCACCTATTTGGTTCAATGACCCTATCCGCATCAACAGCAAAAGAGTCAGGATGAAGTGTAGCATTACAACAGGGGATATCATAGAAATACTTCTTATGTCACATCAATATGGTTATTATTCACCATGAGGGGGGGGGGTCTCAATCATATGCTCTCAAACAAGTGTTTACAGCATGTAAATAATGCTTACATTTGTTTTTAAGAAATTCCAAATTAAAGAAACTAAATAACAATTTTGTTTTATATGACGCATTATTTTGTGGTTTCATTAATGACTAATTTGAGACCATCAACTCAGCACTATCACTTGAACACATGCTTTAATCACGTGGCTGAACAAACACAGCTTAGAACCCATGTGGCACCAACTCAGTGGTCAGACATACCCCCACCCCCCTCCAGCTCCCACAATGCAGTATGTAAGGGGAGTAGACAGCTTCCATCTCCAAATTTGCAATATCCACCTTCAAGGGCATGCTCCGTCATGCTCCGGCACAGCGACTCCAGCCTCGTATTTATCTCCGGCTCTGTCACCAGAACTTGAAACTCTGTTCCAAAACAAGAAAACATGTGTAAAAAAACGAACTCCGTGCAAAATCAAACAACTAACAGGGGACAATAACATCAGAACGTGCAAACCAGGTCATTGTTCAGTTGACCTTGAACCTTTGCCGCCCACAGGCTGTGACTGGCCAACATATGGAGGGTGGGACTCATTGCAGTGCTGTATACCGCTCTAAAGCTACATGGCTAGCAGACGATGCGAGCCATGTTGCTTCAGAAGAAGTGACAGCACCTGGAGCTACTAAATGCGGTCTACCAATAAAGTGTCAAAATATACGTCTGCAATAGTGATTTAGGAGGGGAGGTTGGTGGTTCATTCAAAGATTTCTGTGTACGTGAGACCACACCAACGCAGAGCAGTGCAATGGCAGTGGAGATATAAGGTTGTTGTCCTTTGTAGGGACTTTAAGCGTCATCTACCAGTATACTCTTTGTTTTTTCGGTAAAGTCACGTAGGTAATAAATTAAATGAAAAAACAACTAAATTAAATCACGACGTTTCGGAGGCAACACAAGCTTCCCTCTTCAGGTATGAATCCTTGAGGTCACGAAAACTTCAAATCTAGAATCTACCAGTATGCACAATTTTTCTCAAACTGGAGTTCAGGTTTTCTACAGCAGGACTCTCAAATAAAGGACATTCACGTTTATTATGTTAGTTGTCAACCCCAAAACATTTTCTTCGCATCACATTATCTTTTCTGGCAAATGCTGCCGCCCCCTCCCCTTCAACCACCAACCTCAAGAGATCACTGACATGAGAACGGCCTACACTTTCCACTGTCCAGGTAACATACATTTCCCACTCCTTCTTTCGTAAAGGCTGACATAGATGCAGAGCAACTACAATTTCACATTCAGGTGTTACAAGCCAGATAACCGCTTAAGGGGCAGCGGAGTGCATCGCTGTAATGTCTCCCATCGTATTCTTGGATCAGGCATTGCGTCGTTATTTGTTGTATGGTCTTGCTCTGGATGACCGCAGTCGCACATTGCAGAGTTGTTAATCTTCCATTTCATAATACACTTTTTGGGTTAGATCGCGTTATTTATAAATGTGTCATAACCCTCCACCACCCGACTCAGCCAATTAGTAAAAAAAGTGTCACGTTGACAAAAGACAAATAGTTCACTACTTTAGCCCACCGGTGTGTTGAAGAGTGAAACCACAAGATTTACAGTTTTTGAGTACGACGTTTCGCTGGTAATTGCATCCAGCATCATCGGGCAATTCGCCAGAATGGTGAGGCTCTGCTCTTGCTCCCGGTCTTAAATAGAGCAGCAGCAGGGTGACGTCATCATTTAACTCATCATTTGTGCATTAGGTATCCACCTCTGCCATGGTTTGTGCGGTTGCCATTTAGGGTGGACCATAAATGGAAGGAACCGGAGAGGAGGACCTAGCAGAGCATGGCTTGACGACATAAAAAATTGGGCCCAGGCAGATTTGAACTCCTCGAATATATTGGCACAAGACGAGAGGAAAGTGGAAACAAATAACACAATGTGTAGTGGACACCAACGGGCTATCTGCCCTTGGGTCGTGATGATGATCTCATGTTCCAACACCTGAAAAGTGTATGACTTAAAATGGCAAAGAAAAAATAACTAAGAACCAAAGATCGTAGGAAAAACAAAAAGGCAGTGTTTTTTTGGTTCTTTAGACTCAGCTGAAGCAATCAATGACTCAATGCGATGGGACAATAAAATACATTACATCGGTAGATAACTTGCTCTTCTGTGTCACTGCGTCATTCATGCAGGTACTCGGCACATGGCCCGAATAATTTCCACTGCGTCCCCATTAAATCTCCTTGCATTTTCCCATGTGCTTGTGAAACGCTCAATGAGAGCCAAAGCAACGAACGTCACGTAGCCCGGGCATGGACACACAGATGACTCAGTTGTTTCCAGCAGGTGCAAACAGTAAACTCAATTAGGGAATCGAATAATTGTACTTGCAAAGGTCACCCTGAAAAAGTCAACTAATAAGATTATCCAGTGGGGTGGGGCTGGATGGCTCAGAGATCAGAGCACTGCGTTGGCACCTCTGAGACCCTGGGTTTGAATCCACACTGCCGTACGTCATTAAATTGCGTTAAGTGACACGAGATGATGGTCTCAGCCCGATCACCAATGACGGCACAAAAAATACCATCTTAAATTTGGTATTTCATTTCATTCAATTATAATTCAGATTTGCGGCTTAAATATTTCTAATTTGATTGACTTTTTTGCAGGGAATATAAATGGAGCATTGAAGTGACCTCAGAAGTAGATCTGTGGCATCATCTTCAAGGGCTATTCTCTGACATGGGGTGATTTTTAAGGTAAGTGAAAAATATGGAAATGTCTTCATTCCATGACATGATGCCAATAACACAATTGGAATTTCATTGGGGGTAAAAAAGCAAAAAAAGATTAGAAATCACGTCTTCTCCAGCGAGTATTTTTTCGATCTTCAATTGCACCAGTCAATCGAATAAAATAAAATGTGTTAACACAATGTTTTATTTATATATATTCATATGAGGTAATTCATCTGGAATACCATTTTCTGCCCAGTTCGAGATGGTTATTCATCAATGAAATGAACAAATGCATAATTGCAAGTAATCATCTTCATACATATAAAAATATCACAATATATTTCATTGCAAATATCAACGTATAATTATAGTCCTATGTATCAATGTGTTGATTCAGCAACTAAAATCTATTCTTACACACAATGCTTGCAAATTGTGCTGTATACAACACATATATACATATATTTCATGAACTCATGCAAATAGTATGCAAACAGCTTTCTATAAAGCGTTGCATTACAAGCACACATCAACACAGCCAGCAATAACAATGCTTGCCCATATCATAGCAAGGAAATGAAATGTCTGGCGATTGATGTGATACCTTTTATGTCTACAGTTCATGAAAACATCATGATGTTGTTATTTCCATTAAATGAAACCGAAGGGCGATACAATTTTTCATGCACTGCACTATGAACTGGGCCACCAGTGCGATTATAGGACATGGCTAATATTAGTGGCAGGTGATATCTGAACATATCCATCAACCAATCAGCAATGGCCAGTGTGGTGAAGTATGATCAAACAAACACACATTACCTACATGGCATGGAGCGGGCCTTCATCTAGCAGTGGACTGACTATGGGCTTAAAAGCTAACAATAAAACATAAAAACGTATGTCCCTTTCTCCATTTATTTTAGGTGGAAAGTCATTGCCAATCACACCACTAGATATTTTTTAATCAGAATTTTACATTTTCTGCCAAAAATCCTTGGAGCTGCCTTTTTCGCCATATCATGATGTATTAGGCCTTACGTCTTTATCAACACTACCAATGTTGTTGATGCAACCACACAGCACATATTGCTTTTCCTTCGGCCAGATACCCACAACTGTTGCGGTCAATATCCATCCTCCCAAACTATACTCTTCCAATATCCTATCATCTGGCCCTGTCCACCAACCTCTGGCGACTCCACTCCAAAGGCTCTCTTCTTCATTGATTTATCCTCTTCAAACATAACAGTCACTTTTACATGAAACTTAATTAGTTACAGTTCCACTACAATCTTTGTCTAAAAATCCATGCCTACCAATTGATGAGTAAATGCTCATTAAGATGCCGCCGATAACGCCTTAACATATAGAGGACCACAGAGCTATGGGGGTTAAATTTGGCACCGAATCATGGCACGGGCTGCCTTTTCCTGCTTGTCTTTGGTTCCTCGTGCCTCTTGAGTTGTTTTCTCTCTTCGAGAGTGAGCGAATACTGTGCAGCGTGTTATAAGTAACATTTATTATTATTACCAATCTTAGCTAGCAAGCTTCTGGGTCAGAAAAAAACGATCCTACCAACAAGAAAGCTACAACTAAAGCATAGCTTTCCTATTTATGCTGAACATGCATCCTATATGTAAGTATAAAGTCAATAAGAAAACTCAGCCACTGATCATACAAACTATAGAGCAACGTTAAGTATGAACTTTGTTAACTTTTGAATAGGCAAATGTCTGAAGTAATGGGGAAAAAAATAAGGATAGCGAGTTGGAATGTCTTCATTTCCCAGACAGGTCTGAAACCTGCCTTGTGAGAGAAGGCATGGCGGATTTGGGAGACATTTATTCAACTTATAATGGGTTCAGGGGATTTCCTCTACTGCTGGTTTAACTCGCCACCTTTGACAGAAATGCACATGACGAGGTGCACATCGGATGGTACATTGCTTTCCGGACTGTCGACTATACTATTCAAACCGTCAGGAACTTTAAGTTGTACCTTCTGACACATATCATTCAGTCTTGTATTCTATAACAGAAAGGCATCCAGACAAGCAGCCTCTGGCCCGAGTTCTGCTGCATGCAGAAGGTGAGCGAGAACAAATAAAATCACGCACGTAGAGCATCCATTTTTTTCCGCTTGCAGTTACTAGCTAGTTAGGATAACCTCGCAAAATTGACAATTGTTTAAAATATTGATGTTCATTATTCATACACTTAATTCTCAGAACCATGTTGGGTCAGCTAAGGGCGGTAACTCGGTTGAAACAAAATTCAACAAGGGGTACAGTACCCAAAAAAAGGTTGCGAACCAATAGTACGTACAATTACAGTCTGTTCTCCTATAACACGTGCGTTCCTAACGCGAATTGGATATAACGTAGTAATAGGTTTTTACCCTTTCAACTGGTACAAAAAAATGACACCTTTATACAAGGCATCATGTTTCCAATAACCACAACACAAGCAGTCAAAATGCAAACAAAAAGAAACAACTCTGATGATGATAATGATATGCACTGTCCTTGAAGTTGATTGGTTCACACCCGAGACAGCCTTTCTTAGAGCCTAGTCTCCATTGGTGTTGGACTAGATGACGCCAAAAGGCGTACAACTCAAAGACAGCACACTATCAGAGTATTGAGAGCTCGGGGTAAGCATTTGCACTATGAGACCTCCTTTACCAGTGGCAAAATATAGTAATAGGTTTTTACCCTTTCAACTGGTACAAAAAACTGACACCTTTATACAAGGCATATAACGTGATTGAGTGAACAGAATAACGACGGGTGAGCAGGAATAAGCGGTTGTGCGGCTGCCTTGGCGTGCCATCACACAAGGCGGGATGCTGCTGGATGCTTCTAGATGCTCCTATGCTCGCCAGTCTTTGTTCAGCCTGCATACGCATCTCAAGTGTTATCGCGGACTGTGCTTTATACCCTCTATGAAATATTCTTTATTATAACGAGATTTTTCCATCACGCGGTGTTCTTCAGGAATGCAACTAGAGCGTTACAGGAAACCAGAATGTACATTTTCTGTTCTGAGGATGAAATGAGCCCATCCTTAGCCTGAAACCAAACTACCAGAGAAATTCCACGCATGTTATTCACATTTTAATGTCGGGGTTCACAATAGCAACCTTTTTACCCTGCAGGATACAGAATAGCTACATTGAGTCAAAGGTAGCCTGTTGATACAAAGCTGAAAAATAATATATTCTAAGGTTTTCAGTAAAGTCACGTAGGTAAAAAAATTAAAATTAATAAAAGTAAAATAAAAATCACGACGTTTCGGAGGCAACACAAGCTTCCGTCTTCAGGTGATTTTTTATTTTTATTTTACTTTTATTAATTTTAATTTTTTACCTACGTGACTTTACCGAAAACCTTAGAATATGAATCCTTGCAGTCACGAAAGCTTCAAATCTAGGACCGAAAAGTAATATTTCCCAACCATCATCGCAACCATGCCACCCGGCGCATTAGTCGCAGATAAAAGGGGAAACCCTATTTTCAATCTCAAAGCTGCTGAATACTGGCTGTATCTGGATGCTAACTCTGTATACTTGATGTACCCAGCAAAAATATGCACAGATGAGTCCGCAATCTACTTGAAGGCAGTACATTCCGTTCACTTCATAGCTCCCTGGGTGTTGCCATTTTCAAGCAATTATAATGACACTTGAGCCCCTGACCGTGACACCTTTATTGCAGGGTGGGTTTGTTGAGCTATCAAATGTGGCCAGGTGTCTTCTGAAAAATAATACACATTCCTAAGGAGGGAGCTGGGAGGAACGTTGAGTTGCTCGGTCAATGGCCAGGGTCAACAGCGGCGTGGTGTATTCCGCAAATATGGCCGACTGTGAGGGCGGGCACAAGCCGGCGTGAGTAGGTGAAACGTTGAGTTTTATAAGGCCACCACGGGGTGACCAGCCCCTCCCCACCCAGCCCACCCCTCCCACCCCCCACCCAACCCCACCCTCCCTAGCCAGCCCCTCCCCACCCAGCCCCTCCTCACCCTCCCCACCCATCCCCTCCTCACCCTCCCCACCCATCCCCTCCCCACCCTCCCCTCTCCACCCAGCCAGCCAACTGTTCGGATAGCTACAGACTTAATGCTGCTTGGAAGTGAATCATCAAATAATACATTGTGTAAATGCATGCCGATACAGGCCACCATACTTCACTAGGGATTATCGTTGGCATGGCTATTTTACTACACACAATGGCAGGAAGTATAAGATCAATGGGCCCGCAGAATGCACGTTGATTCGTCAATCCCCCCCCATTTTGCGCAAGAAGAGTGCAAAAGTGTTGTCATCACATCTAAGGCACGAAACAGGATGACTTCTCCAAAAATGTAGCTGTTGCCTGATGAAGCTAGTTGTAATTACTGGCGAAATGTCGTACTCAGATTGTAAATGTTGTGGCTTGGCTCTCCAACACACCGTTGTGCTGTAGTAGTAACGAATTGGCATGTTCTGTTTACATGACAACCCTTACTAATTGGCTGTGTCGGGTGGTGGCGGGTTCAACGACACATTTTATATTCATGGGATCTAACCCAAAAAAAACCTGTATTATGAATATTGGTCGCGAAAGTGTACATGTTAAATGGACTACCTTTCCGATACTTTGCACTCCTATCGTGTTTTTGTAGCATTTGTCGTTGTAACATTCTGACCAACCCTTGATCCAGGGTGACGGTATGTCGCTCACCTGACTGCTGACACAGCAGCATGGCCTGCGGGGAGACGGTCATGGGGAGGGAACGCGTGCGCTGCACCGAAGCCGTGCGGGCGTGGCGCCGCAACGCCACCGCTTCCGCTGGCTGCTCCTCCACCACCGCCGCTGGGGCTACCAGAGCTCCCAGGCAGGACTCCCCCGAACCATAAGTTCTGTTCAAAAGGGAGGCAACATCTGGTCGTGAATAATATTCAGCAGGATCTCAAACCATCAAGACACTTGCTAAATGCAAGCGAGACCAAACGTTGATCCTTTCTGAGCAATAAGTCTTCCTCCCTTCTCAAATCCTCGCGCAATTTTCACTCAATGTATTTGTGTGTCACAGGACTGAGAAGTGGTGTCAGCTTGCGGACGTCTTCATCCAGCAGTGATCATGGCTGTTGATGATGATGGAAATCAAATATATAAATGTATTAATATATGGAGTATCTGGCAAAAATCTATCATAAATTTTAGTATCCATATACAAAACCTCAAAACGAAATAAACAAAATCTGGGTTTAAATGTTCTCATCCACCTTCAAGCCCATCATCAATGATGGAAATATAATTTATGAATCTCTTCATAGCACTGCGACCTATATTCTGACTACATAACATGATTCATATGTCAGTATTAACATTCATCTAATGGCCATGAGAGAGGCACCTTCATCCAGCAGTAGACAGATCATGGCTGATGATTAATGACGACGATGACCTACCTAATGTGGCCAGCAAATGACGCTCACCTGCCGACCCTTAGCAGGCGCGATGACCGGGCTGCTGAGCGAGGCACGTGGAGGCGTGGAAACGAGGCCGTTGTTGCCGGGACCCATGAGACCCAGGCGGCCGCTACCCGGCAGGCTACGGTGCGGTGCAGGGAATGGGCGCGAGGCCCAGCGACTCCCCGATAGGCCGCACACCGAGCTGGCCGGCGCACCCCCCAGCACACTGCCGCCACCTCCCACGCCCGGCAGGGAACTGGACTGGCCAAACATTCCCCACCTTCACAAAGGAGAAACAAAACAACAACAACAAAAACTCAATTCGTGTAATGAGTCTGCGAAAGAGGCTGTGAGTAAAACTGACGCGTTAACTATGGGAGAGCAACACCTCCCCGAGATTTCTCCAAATTACCAGTGCCGAAAATATCTCTGGGTTGTGAGCTCCAATTGCGTTGAGTTAATCTCCCCCATGGTTGTTACACGTGGTAAAATCTCGCCATCCAAGCAGTCACAACACAATTCAGCTATCCTTGTACATAATTCGGCTATCTGTAGAGCTTGTGAATAGATCACGAAAAAAAGTGGTAAAGACCCCCGGGAGGGCTGCCGGAACGCCTGCATCTCGAAGAGGGCACGTCGCGGGAAGACGCGCAGCAACTTCTGCACTTGCAGCTTCCACGAAACCAGGCGCTTTTTCTGAGTCTCCGTGAAGGCCTGAGAGAAAAGCACACAATTCACATCATTACATGGTACTTTGCTCCGGTTTTTCCACCTTTGACAAACAACCTACTCGCCCACCTCGCAAATGGAGTCACACAAAAGCGCCTCTCCAAATGAGAACACTATCACTGGAAAGCCCAGTTTGTCGGTTATATTTATCCGAACGATTTCTACTCTGAATATCCCCATGTTTGTCAAATCAGAATCTTTATTTGGACTGCAGGAATCCGATGAGCTATGAAGCTCTTTTTCACAGATGTCCAGCACGGGCGGGTCATCAATACAAAACACGATGAGTGCAAGAAAAAAGAGAAAATTGTAAGAAAGTCACTAAATATAAATGAATAATATCTACATATAAATAATAACAAACTATATAAATTGTTGGTAAAATGGCGAAAGTCTACCATTTTATTTTGGACATTCCAATATCGGACGTAGTGTTGTTCTCTGATGAATTTAATGTGGACTTCTGCGGCTGTGTAATTCTCTCTTCTTAACACCAGATTACCCAGTGGCATTTGTTGAACGGGTAACACCTTATTATTAATGACTCTTGATGTCATACCAGAATTTCCACTAGTTAAGCAAATGTTAGTGGGAAACACTGGTTCAGAAGGCTCAGTAGTTAACTTGATTTTATTTCACAGATGAACACACCTTAAGAGTTTTGTTTTACATCATAGGGGCCAGATTTTCATCTGGTCAGATTGAGCACTTACGATGACATTTACTCAAGTGCTATGACAAACAAACTGACACACTGACTGAAGGTGATCCAGGAAGTCAACATTTTCATCCTATGGAGACATTGACCAACACCATAAGAAGGTGTAAGATATATCTCTGACTCAAGATAACTCATGGAGATTGACCAGTGGCCAACTGTATATTTGAACAAAGGAGACACTTTGCCCCCGACACAGCACAGGGTGAATATGGAGTCAAAGACTCATGAAGGCAGGCTTACCTCATGGACCAAACACTTGTCAAGGAGCTGCAGGTATGAGGCAACACTGTCTTCATCCGGATGTGACACAAGAAGCTGTGTGCACACTGGGCAGGCAACACAAAAGCACATCTATGCATCGCAGCATACAGTAATTCCTCGTTTAACGCGTTAGGTGCGTCTTGGGAAGTGCTACGTCAGGCGGAAATGCGTTCATCCAAAACAATTTCCACAAAATAATTAATGCAAGGATAAAGTTTGGCAAGAGGTGTGCGTGCACACATGAATCTTATGGCGGTACCCCGGGGTGCCATAGTACCCCGTCTCTCGCATAATGTCGGTGATGCAGTCACTTTTAGACCGTTGATGGTCGGCGATGCGGCAATCGACTCATCTCGACGAGCTGTACACGATGCACTATTCAAAGTTGCATTTGTCGACAACAGATTTTTTTATGCTATAATGTTTGGCGTTTCGACATCGCGGAGTAGCACTGATTTCGGATTGATTGGTACCCCAGTCACGGAGATTAAGTACACCCCTGGAAAAAATAGTGTCCGAGAAATAAAATATTGAATTGCCTCGGTCATTTTGTATTATTTGGTACCCCGGGGTACCGCCATAAGGATCACATAGTAAGATGGCAGGACAAAGAACTGAGATGAGGGTACGACGCATACTTTATCCTTCCGTGTGCGTATATACGCGAAAATAGTTCGTCATCAACTCCTCAGAAACCGCGTTATAATGGGCACGTTATGCATTGTGCGAAAAGTGTTCCCGAATAGAAGAATCGTATTATAGAGAAAACGCGTTGTGTGAAAATGCATTAAGCGAGGACTTACTGTATACGTAGTGCAATTATTTTTACTGTTCTATGTCATTATTCTAAAAAGCACGACATGCAAGTACTGCTTAGTTACAGATCTCTACAACAGCCGACGACTCGAACAAAACATCACACACATTGCTCTTTTATGCTGTGTTATGGACATGCGAGGTTATGAACTGACCACTGATCTAGATGTTCACCACTTCCTCAATCAGCCCCTGTATCCAAACCAGTGGATTTCAGGCATGTGCCACATGTCCAATAATCCTGCTTAAACATCAGGCAACCTTGCAATGCACAGAAATGTATACACCATTTTCACTGTACAACCAAAGATCAAGGTTCATTTTCCACTGCACAAGCCGAGGAATGCTGCTGACGTCACACACAAATAACACGCCTAGATGGATGTAGATAATGCAGACATTGTGTCTTTCCAGTGTAAATGACTGGAGAGATACAATGAATGCATAATTGTCCACAGCCCTGGCCCTGCTTGGCCCTGAACCGTATTGAGACGTGTTGTGAGGGTTAACGAATCGGCTTGATAAATACCCAATGGGAAACCACCTATACCGTGCAGGCCCGGCTTGGATGTACCAGTGGAAAAAAGCCTATCAATTGCCTAATCATGCTCAGCGAATGAAGGACGAGAGAGGCATCCTCCGATTAGCAGGGTTGGCTACGTACGGTGCGAAATATGTTCAACAAATACCTTTGCCCATGACGCGCGTAAACTGGCCCGGCAGATCCCCCTCGCTCACATGGGTTCCCTCATTTGCCGCACCCGCTGAACCCCCGAGGCCATCACCATGTGCGGCAGACAGGGTTCCCAGGCCACTAAAGTCGCTCCTCTCCATTCCTGCCAATGGCGGACGTCCTGAGACGCTGGGGCTGTTCCCAACCTCCCTTCGTCTTGCCGGGGATGAATTGCCACAGCTCCCACTGTCTGCAACAAATGCATTTCAAGCAATCAGTTCATCTGTTTGCTGGCAAACAAGCACAATCAAGGGATGGGAAGACATCTCCAGTGGTTCAGCTGCACCCCTCTAGCCACTCATATAAGTGTAGTGTCTCGAAATTACTCACACTGACACGGAGTAACAGGTCACCTGCTTACACTTTATTAATCATACTCTCGCACCCGATGTAGGCACTCCTAAGACTGCCTTCCACTGTTACCACACACTCTGCTTCTCCTACTAGCCGCTCTCATCTACTCCGCAACTCACCTATTCCGCACCTCGCCTACTCCCTCCTATCTCGCTGCTCCCTTCTCCTACGCTGCCCCGTACCCACCCACACGTCTGTCCCGGGCGGGGGGGTTCAGCCAACACCCGCCCGGCGACGGCGTGAGGGGCGAGGTCCTGTTGACGGCTCGAGCGACAGCGGCGAGATGTCGTCACTCCTATTTACACCCCTCCTCATTCCGAGTCCTCACGTGCTCCACACTTAAGCGGTCGCCTCCACGGCGTCTGTCGCACTCATTAATCCCTAATCATCACCCCCATCTCCCGTCTTTCTGGCACCAACCTCATGCTCCAATGCGCACACCTGCTCGTCTAATTGCACCCGCTAAACTGTGCGCACTGCGTACATCTCTACTCTACAGAAGGTTGACTGATAATTATCATGGCCTTGAGGGAAAGCTTGTCGAAATGCAGATAGTTACGCAAAGAATGCAGTTAAATACAGGTTACAGGTCGGTGTAATTAAGAATCCCTGATTATGTAATAATAGAGTTTTAGCAGCACTCCCATAAAAGGAGGCCCATGGACTTTTTGATCACACCTCATAAGATGCCTGTGCCTTATGAGGCAACACTTAAATTTCTGAAGGTTCTTATACCTTGCTTTGTAAAAAAACAAGAAGTAGTAATGTTCAATGGTTCCACTGTCTGGAACAAGTGTATTTTAAGTTGGTTATTGTCAGTTCACTCAAGACAGCTGGGGTTGCATTTATCTGCATTGACTCCTGTGTCAAGTTTCATTTCTTGCAGCAGGCGAGTCATCGGCAATTTGACGGGTACTTTGGTAATACTCTGTATAAATTACAAAGCAACCAACGGTAGTGCTATGGCCGCATGCTGTACATATTTTTGAAATGTTGTGAGCTTAAATCTCAATCTTGGGTTAACTGCCAAATTATTCCTCTGGGATTGATAAAATAAGTGCAGAGTGGGAAATCTAGAATCGTCCTGGGGAAAGCTTCGACTTCAGGAAGGAAAGCTGGGATGCTCACTTCGGTCTCAGGGCCTCCAAAGGTGATAAAAACGCCATTCTATAATTCTTAGCTCATCGCTGATCAGAAGATATCCAGGCACGCTTGAGCAACATCACATCCAAGTGACATTGTGCACCGGCCCGATGCAGAGAAGTACCAGTGGTAGATGCTGCTCCGGTCATTCTAATAGCGGCTTTTGACTAGCCATCGAACAATGACGGTTGCCACATCGTGCGCTTTCAGATGTGCTTCTGCGTTCGTCTGGAACGCTCTTCCTTCTGATATCAGAAAGCCACAGGAGCTATGCACTTTTAAATCTAGATTGAAAACTAATTTCTTTAGAACTGCTATGTGTTTAGTTTGTTGTTCTTCCCCGCAACTTCGATTTGCACGGTTGGCTACGTACGGTGTGAAACTAGTTCAACATACGTACATACATGCTCACCTTGGTGAGCACTGGGTGCAGAAGCACTCGCCGGCGAGTACATCTTAATGGGCGTCAGGATCATCTGGTGCAGTTCCTGCAGTGCGGCTCGTACCAAGCTACCGCCTTCCATTATGTCCTGCGAATGCAGAGAGAACCAGGGTCAGTGGTTGAGAATAGTGATGACACAGCCTAACAGACAGAAATATCATGACCACCTAATCTATTGTTCATAAAAGTAGTGTAACTCTTCAACGCCCCCCCCAGCGGTGCGATGATTTTACCCGACTGAAGGTTGCGATTCGAATTAGAAATCTATGCTGTCCAAATTTTACCATTTCATTTATACTGTTGGCATTTGAATGGTAGTGTACATTCAATTGGCCTCCATGTAACGTAAGCATATACATTACATGCAATTTCCACGAATAATAAATCGATTATCATGTTTCAATGCGAGTATTGTGAGCAATTATTTTTTTATTGAAATATCGATGCATCTTTCCATGCCTAATTCATAACTTGAAACATCAAAGTGCACCCCTCCCTGCTTGAATAAGAGTGATGCAGATCTGAGTGACTTTCCTGAGCGTTAGGAATCCACATTCTTAGGCAGGGACCACTGCCTCCACATGACAACCCTGGACTTCCAGCAAATTAATTATATAGTTTTCATGCAAATGAAATCATCGCCTCCCGACCTGGACTTTAACTTACATCCTTCAGGTTATAAGTGAAGCACAAACTTCTGATTCGGAGTTGAGTGCTTAAACACAGAGCCACCCAGACAATTTATATATATGGCATATTTTGGACTTGATTAAATGATTAAAAAGGATGCAGACAAGCTGCCAAAGGTAAAAAAAAAAAAGTATTTTCAAAAGCAGACCGTAACCCGACTTCTAAATCGTACGCAATTTAAGGGAATCCCAAGTAACCAGTGCACAATGTTACATTAATGAAATATATATTTTTGCCTATGCTCTGCTGCCACCTTTTGGGCATCTGCACAATAACAGATGGCATTTTCAGGGCTGGCCAAGGTAGAAGATGAAGTTACAACGTTGACAATGAACTGCAGTTGTAGAGAATTAAGAAAAGGTAGTGCAGGCATGCAGTGGCTTTAATTCAACAATACATGGGGAATGGCTAATAAGTGATCGTACTGAATTAGCCAACAGCTTAAAGAAGCAATTGTGCTTAATGTTACCAAACTATAAAAAAAACACATCATTCTATAAGAATAGGTTTTACCCTTTCTGGCAATAAAACATGTGTTAAGATGTTAAAACACCAAACTGAAACCTTTTGCAAGGAATCATGTCTGCATTAACCATATATATGCAGACATGATTCCTTGCAAAAGGTTTCCGTTTGGTGTTTTAACATCTTAACACCTGTTTCATTGCCAGAACGGGTAAAACCTATTCTTATATTTTGATACTGGCAAGGGAGGTCCCATGACAATATCACTCGACAGCACCGAGGCACTCGATAGTAACCGAAGAAATAAAATATATCCAAGCGCAGGACAGTGTGCCACCTTTATAGCTGTCAACTTCCACTTCACAATTTGAAATCCAGAAAACTAATATGGCACAACTTCCACCATGCCCCATTGTCATGGTGTAATGGAGGGGGGGGGGGCGGTTACAGCTCTCAGCTTGTGACAGCACTCCAATGTGGCTGTAATGTCCTGTCAGTGGGAACGACTTTCAAATCGTATTTCTCACGAGCAAAGCATCAAATTCGTGATGCACAGCCCAAGCATAGGTCCACAGCACAGCTGTTTGCATCGTCTCTTCCCGTTCAACCGAAGAGAAACCGACTGCGTTAGCTCCTCACCTTCTCGAGAGAGTGCAGCACATCGTGGCGCTCGCGCAGCTTTTGCACACTGAGAGCGATCTTGTGTCGAGCCCCCTTGGTGACGCACTGTGCGGGCCAAGCGAACGCCAGCACGTTCGAACACAAAGCAGTGGGATCGATTACTCGCGATGCAAACGCAAAATTAAGATCCAACTTTGAGTGCAGCAGCAGCAGCAACTGCAGTGTTTAGAGGTGGGTGAGAATGCGAGCACAAATGAACGTTATAGCAAAAAGGCTGAGAGACCATCATGATCTGGAACTGAATGACAGATGCACAGACAGCTTCCAGCCGACAGATGGCAGTGACAGATGCTGTGAAGCAGCTGTTGCTCACCCACAACCCAGGGGACACCAACGAGTATTCTGCCCAGCTGTCCGCCAAAGCTAACTCATATTGCATCATAACATACATTGGGAGGCAAACTCTACAACGATGTACATTTTTACCACTATCAGGGCCGCCAATGGAGACAGGCACCATCAATCTTGATTTGAAGCTTTCGTCACTGCAGGATATCCATACTCTTTGGTTCTTTCGGTAATGTCACGTAGGTAGAAAAATAAAATAAAATCACTTTGGGAAATGAGACAGTGTTGACTTGTGTTAACAGTGGGTATTCATTCATTCACACAAACATGCCATCATTGTAAATGAGTACACAACAGCTGAAATATTAAAAGGCACTTTCTTGTTGTGCACATACAAACCTTTGTACATCTACTGCTGGATGAGGGCCTTCCTATGCCACGCGGGTCGTGGGGGTTATATTTGGCCAGACCTCACCATGCTAGTCAGTGCGGAATGAAGGCAGTAAAATCAATTGTACTGCACTTCTGTGCTACGCAACATGTCACTCCGCAGACTATAACCTGTTGTGTATGGAAATGACCCATCCAAGCATTATTCAGGCTCGAGTCTACTTACTGTCTGAGATCTGATGAGACCAGGTGAAAGGGCATTGAACTTTCTTAAAAAAATATTTAGCAAAACCGTGGCTATGTAGACAGATATTAAGCTTGGTGAACATGTTTATCACTCAACTACAATGTCTTTTAAGGATAACTCAACTACTGTGTGACCCCCCACTAAAATTACTTTGGCTGTGCCGAGAGGTATTCAAATCATTTGTAAAGAAAGTTGAAAATATTTGCTTAAATACGGATGCTCAGCTAAATCCTCACAAAACAGATTTAGCAGCACCGACGGCTCAACTTCAATACTGTGTATGAGGCACATACCACAAGTGGACAACTATCTATTAAGCCCAATGGTTAACGTATCACCAAGTTTAACAAAATATGTTAAACAGGCACACACGTGTGTTGATAGTAGTTATGCCACGTGTTTTTATGAGAACAATACTTGAAAGACTTAAGCTAAGACTCTACCTCCAGTAACGTTGCATATGACATCATGCCTAAAGAGTCAAGCCATGCTGTTTGCCAAGCGTCACGGACTGTTGGATGATGTATGGGCACGGGACTGCTGTGCAAATGGTTTTCGGATTACCATCCAAAGAAATAACACGTTACCGCGGTTTTTGTTATTCCACGTGGAAGCATGTGATCTCCACTCACACAGTAATTCAACAAACACTGCTCACGTTAATCTTGCAAACATGAGGGGACAGTCACCCACAGCCATGAGAACGTCTATGTTGCATGTGCGTACAAATTCATCAATCGTTGTGTGCTGTGTATTTCATAGAATCTAAACAGTAACTAAAATATCAGAACAGAGTAGAAAGTAGTTTAATACAATGACAGAAAAAAGTGAAAATGGAGATGCTTTCTTGCTTAAATGAATGCGCAAAAGGTGTGAAACAATGCTCTGTTTTACAACATTAGAATTGCAGCGTGTTCTTATGAGACAGCTGCAATTCTAATGGGCTGAAGTGGTAAACACAACAATCAGTAAACAACTAGACATTAACCCTAAAGGTTTTCTTTAAAAAAGTATCAAAAGTCAAAATGTCTTTGCTTAAATGAGCATCGTGGGAGTGTCAGAGGTTGGAAGCTCTGCCTTTCCTCTTCTGATAACACCTTTCACCAATCTCTCATATCTCTCTTCTGATTACAACTCATACCTCTATTACATATATTCTGAAAAAATGTCCTGCTTCTTAGGTTTCTTCTGAATACATCTCCTGCCTCTTATCTTTCTCGCTTAGAAATTAATATCCGGTGTCTTTCATAGATCTCTCATCTGAAGACATCTCATTTATCACTTACACATCCATTTAGAAAATATCTCTATTAATACATGTGGCAAGCCGCTGTTTGCTTTCATCGTTCCACCCTTCAGTGTAAAACGTTTGGACATGCCTCGTTTATGGTGCAGCAAGTTGGTGTGATGGGCATGATAGGCCTTCCTAGCCATTTCCACACATGCATTTCAACAGAATAATTTAAGTAATGTAGACAAATCACTGTCAAGCAAACACCCTGCTTTCAAAAGTTTAACATAAATATGTCATTTAATTCCGTTGGCCATCAAGTTGGCGTCCTGGCTCATGGTTAATGCATTGTTGGCGATAGTTGCAGGCAAAGATTACCATAAAATTGTCCAAACAAAATCATGTCATTTGCCCTGCCCAGCTATAACATACTAATTTAAGCGAGAAAATAAAATGTATTATGATAATTTTACATAGAGCTATTGGGTGTCAGTATCTCATTTAACTTAAAACACTGGTTTAGTCATTCATGGCGGGAGTCTGGATTAAAATGCTGGATCTCACTGGTGGCTGCCGAGAACTCTGACGCTCACGTAGCCCACGAGCTATCCAGTTGCCCAACTGCGCTTCAGCGTTTTTAATGTCTTCAGCAGGAGACCTGCTTTTGTTAATTTCCCGACATAATTCATCACGCAGCTGTGGGATTTTAAACACTTGAAGATCATTGGTCTCAATGGCAAACTCAAGTCAGCACAGTTACCTGGTGCTCCAGGTGTTTCTCGGTGAGCGACATCATCTCCTCGTAGGTCAGCTGGGAGAAGAGTCCTGCATATTTGTGGAGCCGAAGGCTTTTAAGCCACGCCGGCACATCTGAGAAAAACGGGCAGTTGCAGGGTAATTCAGAAAATGCAAATTAAAATCGATTGTGTGTTAATCAATAGAACGACGTACATGCACAGCTCATTTGTCAATACAACGAGGGAAGAGGGCTACCCCACACGCCCTGCTGATCATGCGGGTGATTTGACCGTACAACAACCACACTAGTCCATCTGAGATGATGAACGCAAGCAACATAGATGTTGGAGAATACAAGAACACAACTTTGGATTTTGCTGTATTGCCCTGTGCTGCCCACCATAAAGCTTTTATACTATCCAGCCTCAACCCTGTATAGCTTTTCGAATTTGATTCCGGGCGATATGGTGGTAGGCAACAGTAAAACCTCTAAACCCTATCCTTCGCGTGCTTGTCCTCCACGCCTGCCACACCCTGCACCCGTGCTCACCCCGCATGCCGCTGCCCTCCTCCAGGAAGGTGTTACGAGCGAGGGGTGGCCCGTCGTCAGGGTGATCCCCGCTGCTGCCGCCGCTGCCCGATGACGCCACGCTGCCCTGTGGCGAGAGCGGGGCATGCGGCTCCGATGGCGGCAGGCACACCACGTAGGGGGGTGGTGGTGGCGGCTGCGGCGGCGGTGGGTGGGCGTGCAAGCCTGGTACGCCCCGCGGGCGTAGGTCCTCGTGCGACAGCCACTGGTGCGCCAGGCTGGAGGCTGCCGAGGTGGGTGTGGGAGACGCCGAGCGCTTCAGCAGACCTGGGGACCAGTGAGCGGGCAATGCACAAAAAGGTCGTCGTGATCTCCTGCTCAATTGAGCATCGCGGCGGTGCTCATCTTCTTTTATAATGGTCCTAAGCCAGCGGTGGATATACAACACTCCCGATGGTAGGTGCAAGTTTTTACATTGGATGGTGGTGCCTTTTAAGAGCAACCAACTCCACCAAAGCGTATGTAACTTAACATTCTATTTTGTAAGTGCATAGCAAGGCTGTCCCAGGATGAACAAACAAACGTGAGGTGTTGTTACGAGAAAAGTTTACTTTTTTCTCGAGTTAAATAATTATGCTTTTTGGAAATAGTGAAGTCTCATTAAAATGTATGCATTTTCTACATTATAATGAATATGAATATACTCTCATCTGTGCCTATGTGTGTGTCTCTCTCTGTGTGTCTCTGTGTTATCTCTCTCCGCTTGTGTGTCTGTCTATGTGTCTCCGTGTCTGTGTTTTGTCTCTCTCAAATTTAGCAATCTTTGGAAGAATGTAATCAACCAGGTAGGGTGTTGACTGTTGTTAGCCGACTCTCTGTGCTGTATTGCATTATATTTCTAAGTATACTAGGTTTGTTTTCTCTTTCATTTGTACCTGATGATTGCTTGTGTTGCAATCGAAACGTCGTATGCTATTATTTAATTTATTTTTCTTTCTAAGTGACTTTACCGAGAGAACCAAAGAGTGACGACAACAAATAATTACCCGCAAATAAAAACTTTATACGTTACTCATCACTGTGGTTGTCATCTGTCTTGAACCACTCAATCAAACTAAATAAATCATTAATCTGTTGGCTTGACTTCACAAACACTCGAGGAATAAAAATGGTCCACAGATCAATATGCCATTTGACGTCATAGCCACATGTGACATCACGTAGCACCATGTGCTGGCTTGCCTGATGCAGTTTGTAGGCCATAATCATAGGCAATCATTGTGAAGATATCATCTTCCAATGGATGAATCATCATGCTCGTATAAAGGTGAGATTTTCCACTGTAGGCAAATTTTTATTTCACCAGAACTTTGGAACTACGTTCATCTAATGCAACGCAACATAAGTATGTGCATTTAACATGCTTACATTATGTATCATGAATAATGTTATTCGAGGATATCGCTATACTATGAATTATTACGTGTTAATAAATGTGGACAAGAGAGATTCTGAGTGGAAATTGGGCAAATCAAGTTTCTTCCAACGACTCATTTATAAGTTTTAGCTGAAAGGTCAGCAACTTTGAAGCTCAGAATGGAACGTCACAGAAAATAATTGTAGATACAATCATGAAACGCACATTAAAAAGTAGCCATTCAAAGGTTTAAAGTTATCCTCCAATGTTCTATAGCCACAAACCTTCGAGGATGGGTGTCAAGTGTGTATCTGGCAGAGGGTAGTGAGAAGGTACGGTGTGATAACAGAAATAGCAGTAGCCTTGATCGTATCTTGAACTTGTACAAATCCTATGAACTTAATAGGCACCTATTTTAGTCTTGGACAACACACATTGGAACTTGCTGTACGCAATTAGCCCGACACATTTAATACAACGTTCGTCCACCCTCTGCGTTTAATCCATGCCCAGTGGCCTGACACAGGTATCTTGCCTAAGCTGCTATTGCTCTGGGACCGCATGTGCCCTCTGTAACAGTCTGCCACCCGGCAGCTAAAATTAAACTGCTGCCACTTTCTCTTTAAATCACCCACCGTGTCCTGTCTCCACTTCCTGCACAGTCTCGCACCCACTTCATCTCCCCATCATCCATGCAGCGTGTACAAAACTCTTTGGGCATGTTTCGTGATGGGTACTGCAAGATGCGACCATGTCCGTCCAGTGCTCGCCGAGCAGCATTGGCTTCGGGTTGCCGAACGAATGCATTGTAAGGTCGCACTCATGACACACAAAGTGCTTGCCACAAATTACCCACAATACCGTGCTGATTTCATCAAGGAGCGCAAACCATCACGCAAATTCTGGTAATCGTCGCAGCAGCGGCTTTTGGCTAGCCATTACACAGACGGTCACTGCATCGCGTGCTCTCAGATGCTCTGCCACGGCCATCTGGAACGCGCTTACGTCCCATATTAGGAAACAACTGGAGCTATGTACTTTTAAATCTCGATGTAAAACAAATTTCTTTAGAAGTGATTTTTGTGTTTAGTTTAACATCCTTCCTCCGCACCTCTGATTAGCACAGTTGGCAATGTACGATGTGAAAGAAGTTCAACATTCACATATATCCCCAAAGCAACCCCAGACATAATCTCAATCACTGACACGTTGAAAAACTGGCAATAGCAACACCGAGGGTACATGTAGAAATTGGTGCATTTATTCACAACACCTCCTGCCTATGCCTTCCGGCCGGAAAGCCTCGGCTTCGAAAGCACAGCTAAAGCTTTGCTAAGTGGCAGGCACAGTTGTTGACAGTCTCTAATTCTGTGGCCAGTTCCAAGAACCTTAAAAATAGTGAATAAAAAAAGCACAAAGTTTTTTTTACGATAGATGTGCTGCTGGAAGCTCAGAGGTTCAGATTTTTTTTCGTAGCCTAAAGGGTCAATGTACATTAACAAGGATTTATGGATATTCATAGCCTACAGTACTCAATCATCATTGTGTTTATAAAAGTACTTTACATTATAAGTTTTAGTTCATGTTACTTCAATAAAAACTTAAAATATCTATGTTTAGATCTGCCTGTGTGCCTCCATATCAGTGGCAAGTAGTTTCAAGTGGTATCTGAACTTGGATTGGCTCTCCACTAGGTTGACACGGCCTTAAATCAGTATCTGCCACCATGCTATTGATATTTACACTGGGGAAATGAGGTTGGCCAGCAATGATGCTCAAAACGTCATCTCTATCCCTGCCATCATTGCCTTGAAGAGGTGTTCGTTCTTAGTATTTGTTCACTGCCTTATACATGTTTGTGCAAAAGTGTTGTACAGAGACTGTGTGTGTAAGGTATGATTCACGTGAGAGCGTGAGACATGCTGAGAAAGGGGTGTTGCGTTTGTGCTTTCGATTATTGAAAACAATAGTTAAATAAGTTTTGTTAAATGAACCAAGGCCTCTGCAGCGGAAGTTCGCCTCACCAGTGCTACCGCTCAGGCCGTTCCCAGAGAGAGCTCCTCCGTGGCCATTTTCCTGCCAGCCGAGGCTGCCGTGGTGGGCAGCAGCCATCCCAGAATCCCGTGCGTGGTGCTGCGGAGGTTGATGCCAGCCATTGAGACGGCCTGTTGAGTGGCGACGCTGGTGGCCCAGGAGAACGGAGGTGTTCACTCCGCAGCCACCGACACCATCTTGGCTGAAGCCTCCTGGAGATGCCACCTGCTGCACGAAGTATCACAATAAGGTCCACTTCTCCACCAAGACTGCATTGAGTTCTAGATTTGAAGCTTTCGTGACTGCAAGGATTCATACTCTTAGTTCTTTCGGTAAAGTCACGTAGGTAAAAAATGAAATTAAAATTAATAAAATTTATAAAAAATAAAAACATTAAAATCACGACGTCATAGGTAAAAAAAATGAAATTAAAATTAATAAAAATAGAAACAATAAAATCACGACGTCGTGATTTTATTGTTTTTATTTTTTTATTAATTTTATTAATTTTAATTTCATTTTTTACCTACGTGACTTTACCGAAAGAACTAAGAGTACTGCATTGAGTGCCTAAAGCCCAGTTAAACATTGAAGTCGTCGACATGGATAACCACTCATTTGTTTCAACAAATATAATCTTGTAAAAACATCACCAAAATGGCTTTAATGTGAAGCAACCTTGACGCACGTTAAAGCAACATCACCAGGTTGTGCAGTGTATTTTGGTTGCCTCGCCAAATTGTATGGTGAATCAAGGATATTCTATTTTTTTCTTAACTTTATCAGTGCAATAATGATTTACAAAAGGCAAAAGTCAGTCTACCTATTGAAGTGAATGTGGGCTGGCCCTCATCTCCATTGGTGGCCATGAAAAAATTGGTTGAAATAACACATTCTCATGGTGGTACAAATCTCCCACTTGACTTTCCACAAAGTGATGCTCATTTTATCGACCCTCAGAGGAGTTATGATGTGAGGTGACCATCAACCAGGCTTAAATGTTACGATCTTATGATCGCTCTAAGCACACAACTGTCTGGCCAGATAGGCTCTTAATTGGCCTTTGATGACTGCCTAAATCACTAGTTGCACAATACAGATTTACAGTCCTATATTAAAATGCGGACAAAACAAACTTCAACATGTTCCACGTTTATGGCTATTTTCTCACAAAGTAAAATAAATGGAATGACACAATGGTCAGAGTGAAAGTCTATGAGAAGGTATAATTGACCAAAAGCATGAACTTCCATGGCAAAGCATTTGGATTTCGTCTGCTCACTTATTTTATCGGTTGCGGTAAGAATTACGTGTTTATTATCCTTGACCAGTGGAACATTTGTGCAACAGCTAAATGACTCAAGGCCCCAGACCAAAAGCAGATCCATCTTTCTTTTTTTCAAATAATTGTTTGTGCTAGATATTTTATATTCTGGGAAAACTTAGCCAAGTTATCCTCAAGTTGTGCTACGAATATGACGTAAGAGCATGCGATTCCTCTTCACATAGTCCTACTAAGTATGAGTGAGGTTTGGAAAGGGCATTAATTATTTAAACATTAGTATAGCTTTCACTACTCCAGACATTCCGTTTTAAAGAGAAGAGCGACACCAAAGCACAACGATCCTATTGTATTTTAGGTTATGCAACCACAATTATTTTCAGCCCCCAATAATTAAATAGTAATAATTATTTGTGATAAATATAAATGGGATTAAATAATCCCATTTGCAGGTGCTATTTATATTGATGCATCACAAGCCTTTACAAGAAGGCAGCTTAGGGAGGCCTTCATCAAGCAGTGCATTGATTATGACTAACAATGATGAGGACTTGAATAACATCTGCCCAGGTGATTCAGTGGCAGAACACTCAACGCACAATTGTATGGTTACGAGTTTGAATCCTGGTCAGGGGTCAACTCAGTCCTTTCATTCCTGAAGTCCAAAATGTGTCCTATAGATAGTCTGGACCATGCTGTGGGAATGCAGATTTTCCACCATTGGTTCAGGGCCTCCAATAGATGTGCAGTATATACATACACACTCTACTTCACTAAAAACGATCCACCAAAACAATTACCACGGAGCACCCATTAATATCTGCAGAGTGGCCAGGTGCATTGGTTTCTAAAATAACTTGCCTAGATCCTCTATCAACCAATCCAAGATTTATGATGCACAGTACTCAGAAAAAAAACTGATGCAAGCATGGATAGCACTGGGCATATTAAACAATTAAACTAAACAGGAGGGGAAAGGAAATATTTTTAGTCTGGTCTTAAAAGCACCGATTGTCACGGCTGACTGAATTTCAGTCAGCTGACTTTTCCAGACCACCGGCGTTGCAGATGAAAAGCTCCGTTTGTCATCCTAAACAGAATGGTTTTCACACACGGCAGTGTCATCCTAGATGAGCGTAGATTACGTAATGGTACGTATGGGTGGATTGCATCACTCAGGTAGGTTTGTTGACCGGTTGTCTTTGCTAGAAAAGCGAGCACTGAAATCTTGAATTGAACTCTCTTATGCACTGGCAAGAAGTGAAACTCCTTCAAAGGCTGGTAAGAAGTGGGGCAAGGGTATTGTGTAGACGCTGCCGAGGCCATCGTTTACTCCGTACAGCAACAGTCAAGGAGTGTGGAAACAAGACTACATGCGATGATGGTACTTGCGACATCTTTGCGTATGCAATATATGTAATTTCTAAGGTGACACGGAGCTCGGGCGTGACGAGTGCATGACCGGATTAACTCGCTGATAGGCAATTCAAAGGAGTGATGTTTGTCGAGTGTAATGGCCAGCAACTTGAGATTCTTTTGTTTATATCGAACTGCCCGCCACAACAATGGAAACTGGCATGCTCAAACATAGTAACGTCCGATGTGTAGCAATCTAACCCATTTCTTCTGGATCTGAAAGCTCATAGCAATTACCCTAAAACATTGCATTCGTCACTGCACCCTAAAATTATTCTACACAAAGTGATTTTGGAAAATGATGACGCGAAAATTATTGTCAAGATCTTTGCTTTATAATCATGTACAATCACGTACTTTTTCACAATTGCAAAACAGAACTTATCTCAATGGGTCATTTCACCTGGTGAAATAATGTCTAGGAATTAATGAATATTTCAAATGATGGCAGCATGAGAAACATCAGTGATGAGTATTCTGCTTGATGTACTGTACCTGGTAATTCCATCAGAAAGTCGTGTCTAAGTAACACGAAAATGCTCTGCAATTGCCCGATTGTTCTATATTCTTGGCAAGTAATTTCAAGCAATGGGCACAATGAATCAGTAGCTTGAATGGTTGACATTTGAAGCAAGAATGGCTTTGCATCATTTTGTATAAACAACTGTGTGTGAACCAAGCATAAGCACTGCTGGGATGGGAAAATGTTTACTGTTCGCATGTCCTTACAAAGGCCTTCCACACCTACCCGCCAGTGGCACAGTCACCTCACCTGGTGGTGTTGACTGTGGTGGTGGTGCTGGTGGTGCCGCTCGCTTGGCGGGCAGTCCACCGAGCCCCTCCGGCCAAGCGACGTGGCTGTTGTCCCGGAGCCGCCTCTGCCGCTGCTGCCCGCCTCCTCCAGGCTGTTGAGCCAGCCTGCCAATCCGCCACGGTCATCGGCGTCCAGCGCCGGGTGAATGAGGGCATACGATAGCAGCTGGCGCGCCTCGTCAACACGGCGGCCCGTGTCGAGCGCCTGGGCGAGCGCGCGGGGTAGCAGCGCCAGGTAGCCGGCCTTGGCTTCTGCATTGCCGGGCTTGAGCAGCGGTAGATGTGACAGCAGGAGGGGCACGGCCTTGTCCAGTGGCTCGTGCTGCCACTGCCCAATGCAGGCTACAGCAAAAGCAGGGCAAGGCAGAGCATGAGGCTAATGGATTAGGACCATACATTGATGTAGCTGCCAACACAAAAAAGTACAAACAAACACTGAGTAAGCTCCAAAGTGCCTTAAAGGAAGATGGATTCCTAAAAATAAAATGGCTCTTCTCTTGTAGCTACATAGCGATCTTGTGGTGTTCTGGGCTGTCTGGCCCAGGGTTTGAGCTTAGTGAATGACAAAAAAACTAAAGTTTTCAAGTGACTTTTAGTAGTGCCATGGTAGATCTTTAGTGACATAACTGCAGTGATGTATTGAACAGTACAAGGGTCACGATACTGACATTACATCGTGTGACGTCAGGGGAATGATGCTAAGGTCTGCATTACCAGGTCAGGAATCCATTTGCTGTACTGGCAATAATCTGGTCACCTCACACCCAAATGGGTTTGTGAGTGTTACAGTCCATGATGAAATAATGTCGTGGACCTATATATAGTGCATATGAATCGGACACAATATCTGGTGAGGCACTGGCACTTGAATACACTGCCCTCAAATCGGGCCATCTTGTATGAATTCTATGAACTACACTCCCATATTGGAGCAGGACATACCAGTGAAGAGTATCTCTGTCTGCCAAGTTTGGATATCCTCATAGAGGACATTGTCAAATTGTGAATCACCTACACTGTAGATATTAACTTTTGGAACTGCAGCCAAGCCTGCCTTAACATGTCCTTTAGCTGCGAGCTTGGCAATACCCAACCTGCTTTGTTTCGCAAACTCGGCCCTTCATGGGGATCTTTGTAATGGTGTTTGTAACTTAAGTAAACTTTTGGCCACCTGATGATGATGATGATTGCTTGATTGCTTGTGTTGCAGTCGAAACGTCGTGATAATTTTATTGTTTTATATTTGTATTATTTTATTGTTTCCCTTCTACGTGACTTTACCGAAAGAACCAAGAATATAATAAGAATATAAACAAGTGTATTTTTCTTCTTGGTTCTTTCGGTAAAGTCACGTAGAAGGGAAGTAATAAAATAATAAAAATAAAACATAATCAAATAATTCTAACGACGTTTCGGACACAACGCAAGCAGCCGTCCTCAGGTGAAGACCAGGTCTGTCAGGGAGACAGCGTGACTTTACCGAAAGAACCAAGAAGATGAATCCCTGCAGTCACGAAAGCTTTAAATCGAAATTTAAGTGTATTTTTGCTCAGAGATGCCTACGCCACATCCTTATATCTTGAAGAACTTCAGATGTACAACAATTTCGTGAGACATTTTCAAGAATATCGTGACGAGCGGAGTTGACCGTACAAAAAGTGGTGCAAAGCAGCACACTAATGTGGAGATGCAGATAAGCACATATATCGACACACCATCATTATGGAGGAAGATTAGTAAACAAGCAATAGACAGATAGTTGTTTCTCCACTGTAGATTATTGCGGTTTACAAGAGACAGCCTCGTGATGTCAGATAATCAACTCATTGAGGTGCATTGTGTCACTCGTTTGAGCAACCACTGTCTGCAACTATCTATCACCGAACCTCTACAACTCTGTGTGCCCCAATACATTTACTGAAGACAATTTCACCGACGCAGCTCACCAACTCGTTATTACATTCACACAAACGTACTGTACATGTGGCCCCTGCGCACTCACTCACCCCTCCCCCTGTAACAAACTCGTGTGGGGGCACACCCGGGGGCATATTCCCCGGGCCCCAACATCTCCGATCTGGGCACCCCGTGGAAAGGGTGAGTGTGACGGGTACTGCAAGATCCAAATGTATCTCTCCAGTGCTCGCCGAGCTGCATTGGATTCCAGTTGCCGAACGAATACATGAGGTCGCACTCATCACTCACAAAGTGCTTGTCACAAATGAACCACAATACCTTGCTGATCTCGTCAAGGTGCATAAACCATCACGCGAACTCTGGTCATCCTCGCAGCGGTTTTTGGCGAGCTATCGAACAAAGACGGTCACTGCATTGCGCGCTTACAGATGCGCTTCTGCGGCCACCTGGAAAGCGTTTCCTTCCGATATGAGGAAGCCACTTTGAGATATGCACAATTAAATCTAGACTGAAAACTGATTTCTTTACAACTACCTTTTGTGTTTAGGTTGTTGTCCTTCCCCCGCACCTCCGATTAGCACGGTTCCCACCTCCTCAAACGCAACCTCCACAGCGCCCCCTCCCTCCCCCATGGTGCACACTTCACCCCTTTCACCCCTTTCCTAAGCTACGTGCGCAACCACCCGCTCGGAGTCGTATGAAGAGCAATGTATTATTTTTTTACTTTGTACTCAATTGCGCAAAAAACTATACGGATCTCGGCAATGGCATTGGTAAACGTTGTGGCTAAATTCGCAGCGACCAGAATATGGGGCTTTATAATGAAAATGGTGACGTGACTATGGACAAACGGACGGGGCAGACAAACAGTGAGGGTTTGATGTCAATATTCCTAAAGCTGCCTTAAAAATTATCTACAATAATATTCCAATTGTGATTTGAGGCATCGCGTCATTTACCGCAATAGCTACAGTAAAAAAACCCGATCACAAAACGACCTCTAAAGTCACTTCCAATAGGGTTCTACTTCAACAAAGAGTACTTTTATTGCACAAAAACTTGACGTTTTCGGTTGAGTGAAAACCCAAATTTTATACGTGATGGCTGTTTGTACAGTTACTGACTTGTGTCACTTGAAAACTTGCTCAAATCCTGAGCGATTGCCGAGCTTTGAACTAAAGATCCCGGTAACTCTACTTCCTTCACACTCCGCCACTGTTGTGTAGTGAGTACAGCGAAAAGCAAAAAAAGCCACCGCAGTGAAAGCACATGGGCATTACACTGGGCGAGTTGGCCAGACAGCTGTTTACTGCAACAGCACGGCTGTAAGAATGTTAAGTGCGACCAAATGTTACTTTCTTTACAGCACCTGTGGCCAGCCATACCACTTTCGCTGCATGCAGCGTGAAGCAATGCCACTATAGCAAGAAAAAACATGTTACTTTTGAGTGTTGTGCAGCACCCATTTCATCTACACTGGGGTGTCCTAAGCCAGCGATGGAAATTCCACACGAATGTGGCAGGGCCCGGCATCTCTACAGGATAATCACTACTGATCTGTCACCAAGTGGTACTGATATTATATTCTAGCACTCCAGTTTTCTTTACCTAACAGCCCAATGAGGATTTGAGGTTTTCTTGGGTAAACAAATAACTAAAAATCACCGTAGTCAACCCCGAAACAGACTTTCACGCATGACATACAATTTGAAGCTTGTGGCTAACCACTGGCTAATCCCAATCATGATGAATCGACATTGCCACCATGGCAAAGTACTCATGTTGATACTGCCACTGAAAACATTGTAAAAACAGCAGCAGCAACTACCTAGTTATACTTCATTCACACAGCACTAGTCCTACATATGGAGGCTTTGTGACAAATTGTTTTTATCTGGAGGAATGAAACCAACTTCATTGCAGCAAGGCCAAGGAAATATCTCTACGTGTTGTATGTACGTCGAACTTTTCACACCGAACGTAGCCAAGCGTGCTAATCGGAGGTGCGGGCGAAGGACAACAAACTAAACACAAAAAGCAGTTCTAAAGAAATGAGTGTTCAAGAGAGATTTTACAAAAGCATAGCTCCAGCGGCTTCCTACAACAGCAACATGAACAAGTTAACGAGCAAATCGGGTAGTGACACCAAAGGGAGCACATTGTCACCGACGATGAAATGTGTGGTCGATGGACGAGAGAAGTTGACCACGTGATTTGAGTTCAATAAACAAATTTGGAATGCAGTACGCTATGAGGTGGTGGGTAACGTTTGAGAGGAAAGCCCCTTGTGCACCCTTCAGCAGCAACACCCTTTGGTTGCACATTGCTCATTGGAAGATCGTAGGAAATCACAAGTAGCAATGCATAGTGAGACCCACCACCATCCGTACAAGCTCAAAGAAGAAATATGGCACAGAGAGGGCAGCAACCGCTCAATGTCGAGTGGTTGTTGCCCCCCCCCCCCCCCCCCCCCCCCCCACCGTGTACATAACCGCAGAAAGATGCATTTGTGTAAAAACAGCAGGCAAAGTGACCGTGTGCAATCTGGCCCTCTAATAATAAACGCTCTCAGATGAGCCTCATCATGCCGGCTGCCTCACCAGCATGACCAATCATAACAGGAAACATTTCGATGCAAACAGCTCATAAGAGCCCCATTTTTAGCACACGAATCGTGTAAAGAGGCCAGCTTGCTGAGGTCACACACACACACACACAGATTCATCAGCAGTTACTCAGCCCTTCCCTGTTCTTAATTAAATGTATTTGATTTAACCAGGGCAAACCGCCGTTGCTTAGAGATAGCTATTGTTAATTTCACATTGCTAAACATGAATCTGATTGTATAATGGCAGCATTCAACTCTAATACAAAGCAAGTAGATAATAAAAAAAATGTGACTTGAACTTGCAATGCTCAGCGTTTGCAGTGGGTTGGGTTTTGTTGTCGTCTGTTGTTGGTTAACTCGATGAATTATCATATACACATTCCTTGAAGGTCTACTACGGTCATACAAGTAATTTTCCTCGGCCTACATTTCAATGAAATAACGTTGGTTAATATTTGTTCAAACCTGTACAACACACAACAGGGAGATACAATATTCATATATAGGTAATTAAGTTGAAGGGCATTGTCAAGATTCGGCTTTTGTCCTTTACGTACTTGTAACAAAATGAGCATTAGGCCGCGCTCAAAGTGATGCTGAGAAAGCGGTGAAAATTCGACTTCATTCATAGGAATTCCAAGTTGACTTCCTTCACACTGTTACTCACATTATTGACCCCAGAAGGACGGATAGGCGAATAGAACCCTTGGCCAGGATTTAAGTTTCAAGTTAGGCACTTTGCCATGACACCATCCTGTTTCTGCTTAATAATACTACTACACAATGGCACTCTTGCAAATGATGTCACAGGGTCTTA